GCTGAAGGTGACGGCTAGTGGCGTTCTGTTATTTTCTTTGTTAGGCCTGTAACAGAACGCCACTAGCCGTCACCTTCAGCCCCCAACTAAAACCCCTCCAACGCATTATTAAGGATCTACAACCTATCCTAAAGGATGACCCAACACTCTCACAAATCTTGGGAGACAGGCCAGTCCTTGCCTACAGACAGCCCCGAAACCTGAAGCAAATACTCACCAACAACCACATACCACACAACAGAACCACTAACCCAGGAACTTATCCTTGCAACAAAGCCCGTTGCCAATTGTGCCCACATATCTATTCAGGGGACACCATCACAGGGCCTAATAACATCAGCCACACTATCAGAGGCTCGTTCACCTGCACATCCACCAATGTGATATATGCCATCATGTGCCAGCAATGCCCCTCTGCCATGTACATTGGTCAAACTGGACAGTCTCTACGTAAAAGAATAAATGGACACAAATCAGATGTCAAGAATTATAACATTCATAAACCAGTCGGAGAACACTTCAATCTCTCTGGTCACGCAATCACAGACATGAAGGTCGCTATCTTAAAACAAAAAAACTTCAAATCCAGACTCCAGCGAGAAACTGCTGAATTGGAATTCATTTGCAAATTGGATACTATTAATTTAGGCTTAAATAGAGACTGGGAGTGGCTAAGTCATTATGCAAGGTAGCCTATTTCCCCTTGTTTTTTCCTCCCCTCTCCCCCCCCCCAGATGTTCTGGTTTAACTTGGATTTAAACTTGGAGAGTGGTCAGTTTGGATGAGCTATTACCAGCAGGAGAGTGAGTTTGTGTGTGTATGGGGGTGGGGGGGGTGTGAGAAAACCTGGATTTGTGCTGGAAATGGCCCAACCTGATGATCACTTTAGATAAGCTATTACCAGCAGGACAGTGGGGTGGGAGGAGGTATTGTTTCATATTCTCTGTGTGTATATAAAGTCTGCTGCAGTTTCCACGGTATGCATCCGATGAAGTGAGCTGTAGCTCACGAAAGCTCATGCTCAAATAAATTGGTTAGTCTCTAAGGTGCCACAAGGTACTCCTTTTCTTTTTGCGAATACAGACTAACACGGCTATTACTCTGAAACCGATAATAGTGTGTAGTACATATGTGCTGCATAAAATCCCTCTCCTGAAATATCTTAAAATCTTTGCCAGGGCAGGAAACTGTACTGAGTGGTTATTTCCCAGGGAAGAACCCCTGAGCCCCCGAGTCTCCATCCAGGTCTGAGCCACATGGTGGCATTTATAGCAACGGGGAGGGAATGATACACAGCTTCACACACGTGGCCTTTGGTGAGGCTCACTGTGGCCCAACGGCTTGCAGATAGGATGTCTTTCAGACAGTCATTTGCCTCGGCACTCAATGGCGACGTCGACCCCCCTGAGCTAGGGGGGGTGATTCCCAGCTGGTGCACACACTCTCGCACTAGTGCTCATCCAGCGAGCGGGAGTACAAATAGTAGTGTAGCCGGGGCAGCTTAGGCATCGCTCAGCTGTTCCGAGTAAAACCCGCCTGAACCCAATGGGTACCCGGGTGCTCAGCACGGCTAAGCCCTGCCTCTGCGGCTGCTGCCGTCCATGCTGCACTGGGATCTCTTCTCACCCTAGCTTGAAGAGAGCTAGTGAGTGTCAGTGTGAGCTGGGAATCACACCCCCAGCTTGTAGTGCAGACTCCGGCCAGGTCTACACCACACACATACTTCAGTATATCTACATCGCTGAGGGTTGAGAAAAATCCACATACCTTAGCCTCCCCTTGTAGGCAGTCGCGGAGGTGGAGTAACTACACCGACAGGAAAGCTCTCTCCCCTAGGCTTAGAGCATCGTCTTCAAAGCACCCCAGCAGAGTTTGTAGTGTAGACCTGCCCACAGTCTTCACCAACTCAGCCAGAGGTTAGGGGTCTATTACAGGAGCGAGTGGGTGAGGTTCTGTGGCCTGTAGCAGGCAGGAGGTCAGACTAGAAAGATGATCACAATGGTCCCTTCTGACTTTAGTAAGAGTATCTGAGTAAGAATAGACATTACAATTTTAAATCTAACCAGTGTCTCTTAAGTGGCTTGCCACAAGATGTCAGAACATGTTAGTATTAGAGCTGAGTGGGTCTAATATTTATTTAAATCTTTCTTGATATAAGAATTAAATACAGTGCTCCTGTCAGATAATACCTGAGAAATTATCTGCAAAGAAAACACACAACCCTAGAGTTTTCAGTTGCCTAAGTAGCCCCTGGAATCATAGTTAAAGTTGCCTCCCCCCCAAAAGAAACAACAACATCTGAAAAGTTTCAGAGGAACAGCCGTGTTAGTCTGTATTCGCAAAAAGAAAAGGAGTACTTGTGGCACCTTAGAGACTAACCAATTTATTTGAGCATGAGCTTTCGTGAGCTACAGCTCACTTCATCAGATGTTTACCGTGGAAACTGCAGCAGACTTTGAAAAGGTGCCCCAGTGGGCATGCATGGAATCTGGCCCTCATGAATTGCCAGCCAGTCAACACCCCCCCCCCCCACACACACACACACACAGAAGTCAAACTACACCTATAGCTGCAAGCCACAGCTCCTGTCTCTGCTCAGGCACCAAAAGCTTCCAGATAAACCAAATGATGGAATAACATAGCGCAAAGGAGTCATGGTGGGCAGGTCTGGTTCCACTGCGTATAGGCTGGCTAAAGTGGGATTGGGAGGGGAAAGAGACCAGGGCACAGAGACATAGTGAGAGAAATAGAGAAAGAACGAGAGGGGGGGGGGATCAGAACAAGAGAGCACAGAGAAAAAGAGGTAGAGAAAAGAAAACAGGGAGAGAGAAATTTAGAAACTGCCACTCTACACTTCTAACTCGAGAACAAGTTCTAACCCACTGTTCTATATTTATAAACCATCTTTCTACTATCGGACACTGCCACTTTAATAGCGGAACTTGATGTTCTACATTTAAGAATCCACATCTTTCGATGGGTAAAAATAGCCCAGGCTGTTTCTCACATCCCAAAAAATTATCGTGACCCAGTTCTTAATGCTACCCCCTCCAGAGTCTGATCCCACTACCTCTCTGTAATCTCTCCTTGAGCCTCCCTTTGCTGTATCTATTGTCTCATAGATTCCCGTGCCAGAAGGAACCATTGTGATCGTCTAGTCTGAACTCATGTATAACACAAGCCATACAACCTCTTTAAAAATAATTCCTGTTTGACCCAGAGCAGATCTTTTAGAGAAACGTCCCATTCTGATTTTAAAATTACCAGCAATGGAGAATCCACCATGACCCTTGGCAAATTGTTTCAATGGTTAAGCACCCTCACAGTTAAAAATGGAGACTTTATTTCCTGTCTGAATTTGTCTAGCTTCAATTTTCAGCCATATTTTACCTTTGTCCACCAGAGTGAAGAGCCCATTTGTCCCCCATCTAGTAACTTACAGACTATGATCAAGTCACCCTTTAACCCCCTCTTTGTTAAGATAACTAGATGAGGCTCCGTGGCAAGGTGCTCTACTCACCACAGGAGAATGCCTCTTCCTGGTCGCTCTGGGGATTAGCTCTGCAAGGCCTACGTTCCTTCCTGCAGTTGCATGCTATTGCTCTCTCTCAGTCTGCAGCCCCTCTCTTGCTGTAGGAGCTACTGCTGCCTCTTTATGACTCTGCCCTGAGGGTGCTCAGCGTTCCCCCCTTCCAGGGTAGTGTCCTTCAAAGTTTCTTCTGTTCCAGTGGCATCCAGAAGTCCTCTCACACTGTCATTCCCACAATGGCCCAGGCAGTCTTCCAATTCACTATCCTGCTGGTGCCACGCCCCGTGGCAGGGAGGGTAACCCAGGCCCATCCTCTACTCTGGGTTCCAGCCCAGGGACCCTACAACACACAGCCAAGGTTCAGTCACCAACCTTGCTGCTTTCCCCCCAAAGCTGCTTCCCACAATGTGCTCTTCTCCACCCTACTGTCTTCAGGATTCCCTTCCCGCCAGGCCCCCAGGGACCTACTCTTTCCCTGGGTTCCCTCCATCCCTCTCTACTACCCAGAAGGCAACCACAAACTTCCTCGCAACAGCCTTTACTGTGGCCAGCTTCCGGAGTTTATTCTAGCCCTGCATATCTCTGCTCAGGTGAGCTTCCTCCTAATTAGGACTTTCCTCTCACCCTTAATTCCCTCATCTTGCTACCTAATTGGCTGATAGGGCCTGCCTGGCCCACCTCAGCCCTCTCAGAACCAGTGTGGGGGAGTGTATCCTATCACAGGCTCCTTGAGTCTTCACCATAAGGCATGTTTTCTAGGCCTGTAATCATTCTTGTTGCATAGTGGATGGGTTAGTTAGCCCTGGTCTACACTGCAGGGTGGGGGATCGACCTAAGATACGCAACTTCAGCTACAAGAATAGTGTAGCTGAAGTTGACGTATCTTAGGTCGACTTACCTCGTGTCCTCACGGCGCGGGGTCGACTGCCGCCGCACCCTGTCGACTCCGCTTCCACCTCGCGCCGCGGTGGAGTACAGGAGTCGACGGCAGAGCGATCAGGGATCGATTTTTATCACGTCTACACTAGATGCGATAAATCGATCCCTGATAGATTGATCACTACCCGCCGATCCGGTGGGTAGCGTAGACATACCCTTATTAGTGTGTTCCCATATATTCCTTCCCCAGGGCTTTGCTGGCAAAAGTGCTTTGGACACCTGTATCTCTATGGAAAGTTAATCACTGCCAAGGGTCCTATACTTCCTCTCTCTGAAAACCCTCAAACTCGCAGTGTCAGTAAAAAAGCTGCTAAATGATCTGGGAGATGGGAGAAGAATGTAATTGAATTATCTACTGTAGAGCAGTAGTTGGTTTAGGGCCTGATTCTGAAGGGTGTAACTGAAATCACTGACTTCAGTAGTGTCACTCCAGTTTTGCCCTGGTATAACCTAGATCAGTTGACTTAAATGGAGTCACTCCAGATTCACACCAAAGTAATGGATAGCAGTTCAGATCAATACACACAGAGAAGTTCTAGTGAGGGCTCCTCTCAGATGCTAATTATGTATATTTCCTTTCTTCTTTCTCCTAAACCTTCCTTATGCTTTTCTGCTCTGCAAGGATCAAAGCCAGTGTAGTGAGCCTAGTACCTAGGGAAAATTGGGGAAGATAAGGCTGTTCTGAAGGGCTGTGGATTTTACAAGTTACGCAGAGTTGAGAGTGGCCAGTACATGAATGGGACAGCAGCAGTTTTCAGCAACAGCTGTGACAGACCACAGCTAGCACAGGTCACTGGGCCATTCCTCATTCACCTTCCCGAGCCCCAGGATCCCCAAAGAATTCTCTCTCTCTGATTCGAATACAAAACCATTAAAATTTTTCAAATTGTTTCCCCTTGTTGTTCTCTTTTTCTCGCAAGTTTTAGCACCAGATTGGTGGACCCTGGAAACTGAGGCTATGTCTACACAGCACGTTTGTGGGTATAACTTTCGTCGGTCGGGTGTGAAAAAAAACACACATACAACCGACAAAATTTTCACTGACAAAGTGCTGGTGCGGACAGCACTATGTTGGCGGGAGATGCTTTCCCGTTGATGTAGCTATCGTCGCCCTGGGGGTGGTTTAATTACGCTGGCGGGAGAGCTCTCTCCTGCCGGCACAGAGCAGCTACACGGGAGACCTTGCAGCGGGACAGCTGTGCCGCAGTAAGGTCCATAGTGTGGACATAGCCTGAGGCTTGGTCTACTCAAAGATTTTGAGGGGGGCTAGCTGTTTCAGTTAGGAGGGTGATTTTTTACCAAAATAGTTATCCTGGTACAACCTCTAGCGTGGATGCAGTTATACATTCCCCTTCCCATACAGGAATAAACAATACCACTGCAATCGCCTTTACACTGATAAAACATTCCCAACACTAGTGAGGTTTAAGTATACCAGTATAGTTTAAAAGGTACAGCTCTTGTGTGTGAACAAGTCCCCCAGTGTGTCCCCACTAGTGTGACCAGATGTCCTGATTTTTTAGGGACAGTCCTGATATTTGGGGCTTTTTCTTATATATGCGCCTATTATCCCCCCACTTCTGTCCCGATTTTTCACACATGCTATCTGGTCACCCAGAGTGGGTGCAGTCCTGGCAGCAGAGGGGAGGACTCCACACCCTCCCCTGCCCATGCACTTCAACCTGCTCTGGATACCTGACACTCCTGTGTATCCTGCAGAATGGGTGCATGCAGACAGACACACACACACACGCTCTCTCTCTCTCTCTCAGTGTGCCCATCAGATGGATAGTCAATCTCTGTGGCCCACTCAGCCCGGGGAAGACGTTTTACCCAGGGAGCTGCTTTTCAAACGTTCAGCTTGTGCCTGTACATTTTGCTCCCCTGGGTAAAAAACAAACAAACAAAAAATTAGCATCAAACCCTAAATTATCACATTTCCCTAGGAAATCAGTCTGGGTAGCGGATAGCTTTAAAAGAGCTCAGATAGCTCACAGAGTCTGCCAAGGCTAACTAGTCAGAAAGAGAGAGGGCAAAGGAGGAAGGCAGTTTCAAACCCCACCCCACCCCAGCTCCCTAAGGGGCTGATGAGTCTCTGATAAGGTACATGGTGCCATTTCCACAGGGATTTGGAGCGCATTACAGAAAGCCAACATGCCCTGGATTCCAGGAAATCATTTGCTTTTCAGAGCATTGGTTCTCAGTGCTGCCCTGCCTTGTGGCTAGGGGAGGAGACAGGGGAGGAGACACAGGAGGAGGAAAAAGGAGAGTTTCGAAGCTGTGTTGGCTGCCACTGCAATACGAATGAGCGCACGGGACCGGCTGGAGAATGTCCTGGAGGAGCTGGAAGAGATGGACTTCAAGAAGTTCAAGGTGAAGCTGAACCAGGCCCAGCCGCCCTCGGGCTGCAGCAACATCCCACGGGGTCGGCTGGAGCGGGCAGACTATCTAGATGTATGCAGCCTGATGATCAGCTACTACCTGGAGACGGGAGCCATACAGATGGCCAAGCAGGTGCTGGAGGACATCAACCAGAGGCACTTGGCTGCCAGGCTGGAGGGGGTATAAGAGGTGAGGGGATCTGACTCCGGATTGGGCCCACAACCAGCGTAATTTCTGCCCACCTCTGGCTCATCAAAGGCTTTGTTGCTTTCACTTTCGATTTCTGGGAGGGAGGAAGAAGGCCTCAAGAGGGCGATGCTGACAAGCTGATCCCTGCTCCAGGGAACATCTCTGCTAAAAGCAGGGTAACTGGCTGGGTTCTCAAAAAGAAAAGGAGTACTTGTGGCACCTTAGAGACTAACAAATTTATCTGAGCATAAGCTTTCGTGAGCTACAGCCCACTTCATTGGATGCATCCGATGAAGTGAGCTGTAGCTCACGAAAGCTTATGCTCAAATAAATTTGTTAGTCTCTAAGGTGCCACAAGTCCTCCTTTTCTTTTTGCGAATACAGACTAACACGGCTGCTACTCTGAAACCTGGCTGGGTTCTGAGAAACTTTTCCCTATAGAGGGTGCTGGCTCCTATCCAATCTCAGATCAGGGGTATTGGCTGGCTTAGCAGGGAATGGGATATGGGGTCTTTGCCCTTAGGGGTTGCCAGTTCCTATCTAGCCCCTGATCGGGGGACTGGCTGGTTATGGGGGTTGGGGAATGAGATACGGGGCTTTTTCCCTTTAGGGGGTGTCAATTCCAATCCTGCCCCAGGGCAGGGGGAATATGTGGCTATGGGTGTTGGGGAATAGGATACCGGGTCATTTCCCCTCAAGGTGGTACCAGTTCCAAGCTGGCCCGTTGTTAGTTCAGAAAGTTATTCGCATGTGAAGTTTTGGAAACGGTGAGAAAATACTTAGGTTGTCCTAGTTCAAGCTTCTAGTGCCAGGGTAGTCAATAGGTGGACCATGGGCCAAATCTGGACAGCCAGATGCTTTTGAATGGACCCCAAAAAAAGTTTATTTACTTACCCACTCTTGAGGACCATACTCCTTTAGTGTTAAAGGCTGGTTGCTTCTGCAGGTGTTTGTGTGATGAGATTTAAAATCAAGACTTTGATCACCCGTGGCCATACAAAAATCCTGTGACACTTTTTTGAAAGCCCAGGCTCCCAGTCAGATCCCAGCTCAGGAATTTTCATTTTGACTTCTTAAACTCTTCGTGTAGTTTCCCCGAAATATAGGCTTCTCCTTCACTTCTTTCCTATAGCATGGCCATGTGGCTGTTAAACAGTTTCACTCCAGAAATGGCCGTATTTCAGCACTGCATGAGCAATCCCTGTGTAGTGTTGCTGTGTACTTGGTTTTTAGCTGCATGTCCCACCCCAGAGGTGGCTGCACTTCAGTACAGTTCCCTAATTTTTGGCTCCTAAAAAGCTCGTGCTTCAGGGTTTCAAACGGTCTCCTGCAGGAGTCATGAAGGGACATTCCCCCACACCCCATCCCAATGTATTCTGGAGTTGTTGTTTTTTTTATCTCCTTCCTCTGAAGCATCAGGGATGGCCAAAGCTGGAGATGGAAAACGGAATGGGGAGGGCCCAGGCTCTGAGGCGAAATCAAACATTCTCTCTCTCAGGTGCTTGGCTGGCTGGTTCTTGCTCACATTCTCAGAGTCTAACTGATCACCATAGAGAAAGTCAGGAAGGAATTTTCCCCCAGGACAGACTGGCAGGGACCTTGGGGGAAGTTTCACCTTCCTCTGCAGTGTGTGAGTACAAGTGACTTGCCAGGATTATCATAGAATCGTAGGACTGGAAGGGAACTCGAGACGTCATCTAGCCCAGACCCCTGCAGTCAAGGCCTTGTCCTAACCTCAGAAGTTAATGAGAACAATTTTTCTCCCTCCTCCTCGTGACAACATTTTATGTACTTGAAAACAGTTATTGTGTCCCCGCCTCAGTCTTCTCTTCTCCAGACTAAACAAACCAATTTTTTCAATTTTCCCTAATAGCTCTTGTTTTAGACCTTTAATCATTTTTGTCGCTCTTCTCTACACTTTCTCCAATTTGTCCACATCTCTCCTGAAATGTGGCACCCAGAACTGGACACAACACTCCAGTTGAGGCCTAATCAGCACGGAGTAGAGCGGAAGAATTACTTCTCGTGTCTTGCTTACAACTCTCCTGCTAATACATCGCAGAATTATGGTTTTTATTGTTGTTTTTTCCAACAATGTTACATTGTTGACTTGTTTGCTTGTGATCCACTATGACCCCCAGGTCTTTTTCTGCGGTATTTCTTCCTAGGCAGTCATTTCCCATTTTGTATGCGTGCATCTGATTGTTCTGGATATACCTGATTATTTGGGTACATCTCACTTAAATAATTTCCCTGTCATTGCAGGGGCCTCGGGCACTGGAGCATCTCAATCCCTTCTATTCTCTGCCTCTGGCATATAATAGTCTAGTCTCCTGAGGGCTGCAATACTTTGGTCTAATGACAGTTGTTGGGTGCTGGCTGGTGTTGGTGGCCTGTGATAAGCAGGAGGTCAGACTAGATGATCCAGTGGCCCCTTCTGGCCTTAAACTCTATGACTTTATGACTCCAAAGTGCTTCGTGGTTTGCACAATGAAAAATGCTTTGCTAATCACTTCCTACCAAATTCTCCCTACAGGGGAATCTAATGAAAAAGAAAACAGCCCAGAGAACAAAATGCACTTTCCCTCTAAAGAGCTCCAAATCCTGCCACACAGAAAGAAAGAAAACTCATGATCCTGCCACCCACCGGGGTCTCTCTGCACATGCCCATGGCCAACAATGAAGATCACAGAAGCATCGCAGACACCTTTCTCTGCCACTCCTGCCATGCTCCAATTCCTGTCTCGGCATCTTACGGCTTTTGCCTTTCCCTGCTCGGGATGACCACAGATTTCCACCATTCCTATTTTTGAACAAATAAAGAGATATTTTTACAGTTGTTACTTACCGTTGTTATTTTTATGGTCCATTTAGCGCTGGGGAAAGGCAGACCCTGGAGAGTGAATCCTGTGTGTACGCCCAGAGACAGTACAGCCTGGCAGCAGCAGGGAAAATTTCTGCTCCACCACGCCTCAGGCCTGCCCTTGAGGGACATCAATCATGGGAAAGGGGAGTTCAGCGCTCGTGGCCTGTTCAGTGCCTCAGCCTGATTGCAAATAGGGGGGAAATAGAGATGTGGACTCCAGTTTTGCTAGGAAGTAGGCCCCCTGTACTCATTTCACAACAAATGACTTCCCAGTGGGAACAGCTTTCAGTCCCCAACTGCTGTATGGGAGATTTGAAACACTGGAATAAGGGCCCTTGTGGTAAAGGGCCCTTGATCTCATTCCCTACTTCAGCCAGCTAACCAGTCTCCCAGCTTAGAGTTACATTAGAGGCTGGTGATGGACAGGCGAATGGGTCGTATCCCATTTGCTGCTCCCTCAGCCAGCCCTTCCAACCTGTAGGTAGATTGGTACGCAGTAGGGGAAAAGCCCCATATCCCATTCCCCCTCCCCCCAAGCATACCAGTCCCCCCAACCTGGGGCTGGGTTAAAACTAGTGCCCTAGAGTTCAAGAGCCCCATCTCCCAATCCCCATATCTCCTAGATGTTGCAGGGACTGGCGGGGTCAGGCCGGCTTTCAGAGGCAGGAATGGAACCCAGAGTTTTTATATTACACTCACCTACGCAGTTGAGCTCTGAACACAATCCAAGTGTGTATATTTTTTTCCCGTGCATCTTACATATTTTACGTTTCTTCCCCTCAGATTTTGTTGTGGTGGTTCATTTGGTTGCTAAATCAAGCCACCGAGTTGCATTTTGTTTTGCATACAGTGAGGTTCATGGTCAGGGTGTGAGTGTCACAGTCATGGGATGGCTGGGGAGAAAGCTCTGTCCAACAAAGCCACAAGTCTTATCTTTGAGGCTGAGTCGTGACTCCCTCTAACCACTGGACCCCATTCCCCTGACACAGCCAGGGGTAGAACCCAGTAGTCCTGATTCCCAACTCCCTCCCTTCCCAGCCCCCTGCTGTAACTACTGCATCCTGCTCCCCTCCAGACCCTATGCTTTACACTGTTGTGTGAGTCTAGTGCTTCTTGCATACAGATATCCCCCTCAGAGACACCCCAAAATATCTCTCTCAGAAACACCCCAATATACAACCTTGGGAGACCTCATGATAGGAACCTTGAGTGGCCCCCGATATCTCCGCTCAGAGACTCCAATGCCTCCATCAAAGACCACCCCAATACCCACATGAGGGCTTCCTGAAAGCTCTCCTGAGGGACCTCCTAGCCCTACTAAGGACCCCCAACAATCCTCCATGGATCCCTAATATCTGCTTCAGAGACCCCCCCTCAAAAGCTCCCTGAGTGCCCAACCCCTCAAAGATGCCCCCAATATCCCCAGTGAGGGGCACCCAATATTCCCCCATGGACCCTAACCCCCTCAAACAACCCCCAAATCCCTTCTGAAGGGGTCCCCAATGTCCTCCTCAGAGACCCTCCAATAGCCCCCCCTGGGGGGGCCACAATATTCCCTCAGGGGCCTTCCCCCCTCCCCCGAGGTCCCTCCCTTGCCAGTTAAAACCGTTAAACTGCCCCTCCCCTGCCCTGTGGAACTCCTTCCTGCAGTGCAAGGCAGAGGGGGGAAGGGCAGTAATGGCCCCAACTGTCACTGGGGTCAAGAGGGGGCTGACTGGGGGGGACACATTGGGGTAGCCTCTCAGGGGGTCCATGAGTGGGAATATTGGGGCTCTCAGAGGGATCTGTTTTGTGGGTTCATGAGCGGATGATATTGGGACACTAAGGGAGCTATTTAGCAGCTCTGAAGGGTCTATGTTGGGGAGTAAATGAGGAGAAGGTATTGGGGGCCCTAAGGGAGCTATTTAGGCTGTCCCTGAGGGGTTTATTTTGGGGGTGCAGGAGGAGAGACATGGGGGGGCCTATGGAGGGTATGTTTGAGGTCTCAGAGTGGTGAGTATAAGGGGATCCATGAAGGAGGATAGTGAAGGAGTCTTTGAGAAGGGAATTTTGGGGGAAGCCCTGAGTGGGATTTGTGGGGAAGGGCTTAAAGAAGTGTCTCAGAGGGGTCAGTATTGGGGGAGTCCATGCGGGGAGGTATTGGGGTATCTCTGAGAGGTTAATATGTGGGGATCTATGAGGGCAGATATTGGTGGAATCCATCCAGGGAAAATATTGGAAGTGTCTCTGGGAAGTCAATATTGGGGAATTCTTGAGAGGGATATTGGGGAGACCCTAAGAAGGGTATATTTAGGGGTGTCAGAGGGTTCAGTATCGGGAATCCATAAAGGAGGGTAATGGAGGGGCTTTCGAGGAGGAATATTGGGGGAGTCCCTGAGCAGGATATATCGGGGTGGGATAGTGGGGATGAGGAGGTTCCTGGGTGGGATGACAGATGCAAAACTGGGGGGGCGGGGGGGGCAGAACAAGAGGAAAAGGAAAGAGGCCAAAACAAGAGGAGCCGAGAGGGCTCTGTCTACATTTTTAAAAAAGGAAATTGGGGGAGAGTTTGAATTCTTCCAGAAATAGAAAAGAGAGAACTCTAGAGAGAAAAACAAAATGCAGAGAAAATGAATTAGTGAGAAATGGAGACAGATGGAGGTGAAGCAGACCACACAGGGAGGGGGAAAGAAACAATATATCAGAGTGAACGGATCTAACTGATTCCTCAATTTAACTGCACGTACAATTCAAATACACATAATGAAAGCATGTATCTGTCTCCATTCCCAGACCTTAAGGCTTTGTCTACATTCAAAGGCTTTGTCTACAGGGAAAAGGTTATAACGATATAGTTACACAGTTGTAGTTATACCGGTATTACCCCCTGTGTGGACACTAAGGCTATGTCTACACTGCGCACCTTACAACAGACTCAGCTGCACCACTGCAGCCACGCCATTGTATGGTGCACTATGTGGCCGTTCTTTATCTCTCTCCTGGCTACAAAATAAAACCACCCCCAACGAGGGGCGGTGGCTTCATTGACGAGAGCGCGGCTCCTGCCGACAAAGTACGGTCCACACCGGCTCTTTTCATCGCTAAAACTTTTGTTGTTCGGGGGGGGGTGTTTTTTCACACCCCTGAGCGACAAAAGTTTTAGTGACGAAAGTGTCGGTATAGGCAAAGCCTTAGGCCTTGTCTACACGAGAAAGGGTTTGCAGAACAAGAGTTCTTTTGCTGGTACAGTTTATATACCAGTTCCCCAAAATGAAATAAAGCTATAACAGCAAAACTTTTAAGTGTACACCAAGCCCTATTCTAGGATAAGAGTGACTTTTTTGGGGGGTTCAGTTTACACTTCTTCCCAAGCAGCATAAGCTAAACTGAAAAAAGTACTCTTGTTCTGGAATAAAAGGCCTGGTCTACACTAAATAGATATGTTGGCATAGCTATATCAGCTAGGAGAGTGGAAAAATCACACTCGCAGCCAACATAATCCCCCAGCAAATCCCCCAGTGTAGACACAACTATGTTGACAGAACGAAGTTTCTATCAGCTTAGCTAATGTTGTTCAGGGAGATAGTGGTTATGTCTACACTACAGCAGCACAACCATGGCAGTATAGCTGTGCTTCTGTAGTACCGTACTAATGTAGGTGCTTCTTACAAGACAGAAGGGGGGTTTTCATCAATGTAGTTTAATCCACTTCTCCTTGAGACATTCGCTAGGTCAATGGAAGACATAGGCAGAGCGTCCACATGGTCTGTTATACTGCTATAACCATTCTGGTTGAAATTCACACCTTAGTTTATATCAAAAGAAAGTTCCCATATAGACAAGGCCAAAGTTGCACCTGTTTAAATCAGTTGAAATTTAATTAAATTTTAATTTAAATTTTAAATTTAAACCAGTTTAAAAACTGGTTTAGCATTTGTCTACACAGTTTTTATAGCACTTTAACTATATCAGTTTGAAATCAGACTAGTTAAAGTAGTACACCTTCCTAAAGTGGGTACAGTTATTCCAGAATAAATGTTTTATACCAGTATAGTTTATTCTTGTAAATTCAAGGGAATAAGATATACTGATACAAGATGCAGTTATACTTGTATAAATGTATCCACACTAGGGTTCATACTATTTCATTGAATGAAAAAATGTTACCCCTAACCAAAATAGTTAAATCAGTACAAAAACGGTGTGTAAACCAGGCCTCATACCAATGCGAAACAGTGTGGACCCTCTTAATCTGATCTAAACCTGGTGTGTGTGTATATATATATATATATATATATTTAGTTTAAATTAATTCCTTACTGAATTAAGATAAACTGATATGAAGCCAGGTTTAAATAGAATGAAGAGTATCCACACTGTGATTTGGTTTAAAAACAGACATAAAAACCAGCACAACTTCGAAAGCCTAGGAAGCTGCTCGCTTTCCCTCCATACATATCCCTACAGCATTTATCTATCTATCTACATTTCCACATTCTAGTGTATTTCTTTCTAATCCATCTCTCTCTGGTATTTCAGGGAGCAGTGACTGCAGCATCCAATTGTCAACCTCTCACGGCTTTTCTACACACAAACTGGAATTGAAATTGCTTGCTTTTTGTTATTTCAGTGTAAATCTCTGTGTGTGGTCACTCTTAATTCAGATTAAGAACATCCTATTTTGATTTAACCTCCCCTCAAATGAGGGATAGAAATATAGGCCTGGTCGATGCAAGGCAGCTTACGTTGACCTGACTATGGAAGTGTCTACACTTAAATTTCACTCCTGCCAATGTAACTGCCCCGCTACGCCAACTTAGTCATGGTCTATGCTACAGATTTAGGTCAATGTAAGGCAACTTATGTTGACCTAAGTCTGGAAGCATCTACACTAAAATGTAGCTCCCACCTATGTAACTCGCCCACTACACCGATTTAATAACTCCACCTCCACGAGTGGCATAGCACTTACGTCAATGTAGTTAGGTCGACGAAGTGTCACTGTAGACGCAGCATTGCTTACATCAGCTGTTGCTGCCTCTCAGAAACTGCCCAAAATGTACCACACTGACAATATAATAGAGACAAGTAGTCCTGGTGAGGGCGCGCACCACTGACACACGGAGCATAGTGTGGCCACGCAAAAGTGATTTAATTACTGCAGTGGCTGTATGTTGACGTAACTTAGGTCAACATAATTTTGTGCTGTAGACACACCCTTAATAACTCCACCTCCATGAGAGGCATAGAGTCAATGTCAATGTAATTAGGTTGACACGGTGTCAGTGTAGACACTGCATTGCTTACACCAACTGTTGCTGCCTTTCAGAAGCCATCCCACAATGCCCCACGCTGACAGTATAATCAATACAAAAGCTCCTAGTGAGGACGTGTACTGCCAACACAAGAAGCAAAAAGTAAATACACACAAATGATGTAATTACTGCGGAATGTTAGGCAGAGATTCAAAAAAGACCTAGATAGATTCATGGAGGATAGGTCCATCAATGGCTATTAGCCAGCATGGGCAAGAATGGTGTCCCTAGCCTCTGTTTGCCAGAAGCTGGGAATGAGCGACAGGAGATGGATCACTTGATGATTCTCTGTTCTGTTTATTCCCTCTGGGGCACCTGGCCCTGGCCACTGTCGGAAGACAGGATACTGGCTAGATGGACTTTTGGTCTGACCCCGTAGGGCCGTTCTTATGTTCTTATCATAGAATCATAGAAGATTAGGGTTGGAAGAGACCTCAGGAGGTCATCTAGTCCAACCCCCTGCTCAAAGCAGGACCAACACCCACTAAATCATCCCAGCCAAGGCTTTGTCAAGCCCGGCCTTAAAAACCTCTAAGGATGGAGATTCTACCACCTCCCTAGGTAACCCATTCCAGTGCTTCCCCACCCTCCCAGTGAATATTCTCCTGTTCATGTCTACACTACCACCTGTTAGCAAAGCGTACGTCACTCAGGAGTGTGAAAAAACCCACACCCCCGAGCGACACACATTTCGCCGGCATAAGAGGTAGCGAGCACAACGCAATACCGATGGGAGAGCTTCTCCCGCAGACATAGCTAATGCGGATCGTAGGGGTGGTTTAATTATGTGGCTAAGAGCACTCTCTCCCGCCGGCTACAGGGCAGATCTTACAGCAGTGTAGACGCAGCCTTAAATTAAGCTGACTTAATTTTATAGGTTTCAGAGGAACAGCCGTGTTAGTCTGTATTCGCAAAAAGAAAAGGAGTACTTGTGGCACCTTAGAGACTAATGCTCAAATAAATTGGTTAGTCTCTAAGGTGCCACAAGTACTCCTTTTCTTTTTGCTTAATTTTATAGTATAGGTAGGGTGACCAGACAGCAAAGTTGAAAAATCGGGACAGGGCTTGGGGGGGTAATAGCCACCTAGATAAGACAAAAAGAACGAGGAGTACTTGTGGCACCTCAGAGACTAACAAATTTATTTGGGCATAAGCTTTCGTGGGCTAAACCCACTTCATTAGATGTATGCAGTGGAAGATACAGTAGGAAGATTGTGTGTGTGTGTGTGTATATATATATATATATACACACACACACAGAGAGAGAGAACATGAAAAGATGGGGGTTGACATACCAATTTTAAGAGACTAAATCAATTAAGGTGGGCTATTATCAGCAGGAGAAAAAAAAAACTTTTGCAGTCATAATCAGGATGGCCCATTTCCAACAGTTGAGGAGAAGGTGTGAGTAACAGTAGGGGACAACGTAGCATGGGGAAATAGTTTTCAGTTTGTGTAATGACCCAGCCACTCCCAGTCTTTATTCAAGCCGCATTTGATGGTGTCCAGCCTGCAAATTAATTCCAGTTCTGCAGCCTCCCCCTGGAGCCTGGTTTTGAAGGTTTTGTTGTTGAAGAGTTGCCTGGTGCCGGTCTCTTACTGAGCGACCAGCGAGGGCGACGTGTTCTCCCCCTGGTTTGCGAGCGTTATGCTTCCCGATGCCCGATCGGTGCCCGCTGCGGCCCAGGTACGCGGCAGAGGGGCCTTGCTGGCCCAGCTCCGGGCGGTGGATGGGCAGGCGAAGGAGCCCCCCGGCCCATGCGGCTGGGTCGCCGGGCGGGGCCCCTTGAAGAGATCAGCGGGCAGAGCGGGGCCCTGCTGCAAGGGGCCCGCCCGCCCGGGAACCATCGGGCCGGGGAATGTTGCCGGGGAGGCCCTTCCTGGGGCACCGGCGGAGCCGATTCCTGTCCCCGGGGCGGGGCCGAGCGGCGGCTGCGGGCGCCCGGGTGAGAGACGCCTTGGCCCCGGGGGGGGGGACGGGGAAGGGCTCGGCGCGCGCGCGTCTCCCCAGCCGCCCCCCCCCCCCCAGCCAGCCCCGCGCCCCTCAGAGCGGCGGGTGAAGGGGCAGCGGCGGCGCGAGGCTTTTCACTCGCCCGGGGGGGCTGTGCGGGAAGGGGGCGGGGGGGCTGGCGGGCTCCCCCGGGGGGGGGGGGCAGGGTAGGTTGCTGCTGGGGTGCGTGGGGCAGAGTTTATGCCGGGCTGTCTGTGATGGGGGAGACTTCTCTGTGCCTGCCTGTCCGCCCATCCCTCCCTCTGTCCCTAGGTCCCAGTGCTTCTGTCTCGCACCGCACCCCCCCCCCCGCACCCCTCCATCCCCCTACACACCCCGCAGACCCTGTCTCTCTCTCGCCCACCCCATACGCCCCCCTCTCTCGCGCCATACAGCCCCCCATCTCCATACACCCCCCTCTCTCTGTGTATATATATATATAGCTCCGTACATCTCACACTCTGCCCCCCACAAACCCCTTCTCCCACACACCCCCTCTCTCTATATATATATAGCTCCGTACATCTCACACTCTGCCCCCCACAAACCCCTTCTCCCACACACCCCCTCTCTCTCTATATATAGCTCTGTACATCTCACACTCTGCCCCCACAAACCCCTTCTCCCCCCCCCCCCCCCTTTTTTTTTTCTCTCCCCCCCCCCTCCCCCCCCCCCACAAACCCCTTCTCCCACACACACCCCTCTCTCTATATATATATGGCTCTGTACATCTCACACTTTGCTCCCCACAAACCCCTTCTCCCACACCCCCCCCCCCCCTTTTTTTTTTTTCCCCTTCCTTCCCCCCCCCCCCCCCCCACAAACCCCTTCTCCCACACACCCCCTCTCTCTTATATATATAGCTCTGTCTCTCACCTCTCCCCCCACAAACCCCTTCTCCCTCTCTCTCTCTATATATATATATCTGTACATCTCACACTCTGCCCCCCACAAACCCCTTCTCCCCACACACCCTCCTCTCTCTATATATCTACCCCACCCCTCCCCCCCTCTCATATATATGGCCGTACATCTCACACTTTGCCCCACAAACCCCTTCTCCCCACACCCCCCTCTCTCTATATATAGCTCTGTACATATATATAGAAGTACATCTAAGGCTCTGCCCCCCACTAACCCCTTCTCCCATACATCCCGCCCTCTATATAGCTCCATACATCTCATGCTTTCCCCCCCACAAACCCCTTCTCCCATACACCCCCCCATATATATATATAGCTCCATACATCTCACTCTCTGCCCCCCACAAACCCCTTCTCCCATACACATCTTTCTCTTTCTACCTCTCTCCATATCTCCATCCCCAGATCTTATTATGCTGGGCTATCTCTATATCCTATCCCAACGCCAGAGTCTAGCTCCTCTGACTTGAAAAACGCGGTCCATTTGACCCAGAATCAATAAAGGAAGGTAAATCTGGTACATGAAATTGAAATGAATTTGGCAATTCCTGTGGTGGCGAACAGGAAAATTGGTTGGATATTTGAGGGCTAGTCACACAATGAAAAACAAAGAGTGGGCAATCATTTTTTTCCACTAATTGATGGGGGATAAATTAGCCAGCTAGTTTTTTTAGTAAATATTATCCAGTCGGCTCTAATTATTATTATTATCATCACTATTATTTGCATTACAGTAACACCTAGAAGCCTCAACTGAGAACGTGGCACCATGGTACAGGACACTGTACATGCATATAGTAAAAGAACTTGCTGTCTAAAGCCTAGCCTACATACAGATTTTGTACTGATGTAACTATTGTGGTTTGTAGTGTGATTTTTTTTTTCACTGAAATAATTATATCCGTATACCCTCTAGGATAAATGAAGTTATACCAGTATTAAAGTCCTTATTCTGGTGGAGCTTGTTTCCTTTCTTGTACAGCTTTCGATGGATGTTGATTTCACCTATTTTCTTCCCCACAAGCAGGATTTCCAATCCTCGAACATCCTGTGATCTCCTGGATGGAGCAAGAGGAAGAGCCGTGCATCCTGGATCTCCAGGGCTCCGAAGAAAGGGAGACCCAGAGAGAGACACACACAGGTGAGGAATGAGTGACATTGGCTCAGAGACTGTCCGGGAGTGAAGAGGAAAGCTGGGATCCCTGCAAAGCCACTGGGTGCCTCCCTGGTTCTGTTTTTTTCTCATCTCATCTCACTAAGTATCACCCAAGCAGGTGTCCTAGCCTCCTGGCACTCACAGCATAGGCCCCTTTATATTACTTTGCCATGGCGTCCATGCATTGACACAAAATCATGCTTCAGGTTCCAATTTTTTTTTGTCACTCGTACAGTTGCAAAGAAATTCTTAAAAACAAACCCCGTTGTACTGATGCGGTGATGTCTACCTGACCCTGTCGACAACGTGAAACAACTGTGTGTTTGTGAATTGCCCCATTCATTACAAAGGGACATTGACTCTGAAACCTAACAATGGCAATTTAACTATTCAGACTGTTCACCATTTCACTGCTGATCATTTTAACAGAAACATCCAGCTAGTGTTCTTATTCCACTGACTCTCCAAAAGCTGCAGCTGCCTTTACCCATCTACCGTAGCCTGCAATCTTACTTCCCACACTGAAAAAAGTGGAATTAAACAAACAACTCAGGGGGATTAGATTATTTCTTTTCATAGCTAATACATTTTTTTAAAAGTCCTTTTACAATTAATTAAATTAAGAAAATAAATAATGAATTTTGCATGCACTGGACCGCATGGAGAAGCCTGAGCAGGGCTGAGCTGAGTGGTCCCTGGGATTGGTGGTAAACGCAGTGGCCAGGGGTTTGTTTGGCTAGCTCTGTGAGAGAGAGGTGGAAAGCCAGCTGACAGGGAAAAACTTTTTCACTAAGAGGGTGGTGAAACACTGGAATGCGTTACCAAGGGAGGTGGTAGAATCTCCTTCCTTAGAGGTTTTTAAGGTCAGGCTTGACAAAGCCCTGGCTGGGATGATTTAACTGGGAATTGGTCCTGCTTCGAGCAGGGGGTTGGACTAGATGACCTTCAGGGGTCCCTTCCAACCCTGATATTCTATGATTCTAGGGAGAGTAGAAGTTATATGCATGACACTGAACGGACTAGAGGAGCAGACTTGGAAGTAGTGAGCAAGGAAAGTGCCTACTGTTGTTTGTTTTCAGGGAAACAAGACTTCATGTGTATTCTTTGTAAACAAAGTGGATTAAATTAAAGAATATACCTGACTCATATGATCAATTTCTTCTCCTAATGGAAACAACCTGGCAAAACCTTGAATATTGTCTATCTGGTCAGGCCAAAGGGGCCACACAGGTGTGAATGGATGAATTTTCCAGGAGAGAAATTGTGAGTTGTATTCCTGTTAAAACAAGATGGAACAGATAATGGAGGTGCTTGCAGAAATCAAAAATGTCTAGAAGGAATTAAAACAAGACCTAAAACAGGAGCTGGAGACTTCTCAGAAGAAATTGAAGCAATATCTAGAGGTTTCCCAGAAAGGACTGAGAAATGACCTGCATTCGAAGATAGTATCTTTGTTGGTACAGCAGTTACAACACGTTCGAGCAGATTTCAAAGCCCAGCAACCAAACATCCACTCCAGACTGGCAAGACAGATCAGTGAGGTGATCAGCAAACTGACTATCATAAACCAAAAGGTTTTTCAGGAAATAGAGGAGACCAAGGAAGTTACGGCCAGCTTGGAACATGCTAACAGAGATGAACTACAGCAAGGACTTGAGTGGTCCAGCTCTGATGGTGCGGCAGAACTTACCCCAGAGAAGAGCCTGAGTTATCCAGATTTGGTACAAGCCCTTGGTATGCGGTTTGGGGCTAGCCATCGATCTGAGCCAGCCAGGGCATAGCTAAGGGCTAGAAGAAGAGGGAAAGAAGAAACTCCACCTGAGCTGACAGAGGACTTGCAGAGATTTGTGTTCCTGGCTTACCCAGATACCAGTGAGGCCTTTCAGGATACATTAGCGATGGACTTGGACTTGCAGATCACGATCAGCAAAAGCAGGCCAAGGATGCTCAGAGAGGCTGTGGAATTTGCCACAGAACTTGAATCTTTCCTTGCAGCAAACCAGGAAGCAGCAACTAGAGCGGAAGATGGAAGATGCTTCCATGAGCTTTGTAAGTACAGCTCTGTGTCTAATGTGCCTGCTGGAACAGAGGATTCTAATCTGGTTCATGACATTTTTGAGTGATTGAAAAAGTTGTTCAATCCAGTTTGTACACCAATGGAAATTGGTAATACTGCAAAAATGAAGGGTAGCAGTTCATTTAAATGCTTGAACTTGTGGAAAAAAAATTACCCACAAAAAGAAGTGTTATAAATTTAAGGCAAGACGGAACTGAGCGTCCCAAGCACTTAGTGAAAGTCCATCATCCAAATTGGGAAACTGGAAGCACCAAGATGAAGGGGCAATGCTTGGAACTACAAGGATCAGCTCCAGAGTGTGTGCTAAGATTTGGGCAGTTAAACAACAACAATGGGAGTATGAACGTGTGATATAATCCTATTACATATTCGTATGAATATGTAATAAGACCTGTGAAATGCATAAGAATAATGGATATTGGCTCAAAGATAACAGTTGTTAGACGAGACGTGTTAACCATGTTACGGAATATAGGATCCAAAACTGAACCAGCTACGTGGTCCAAAATGGAGACAGAGACTGGGGAACATGCACCAGTCCAAAAGTAGAGAAAACTGGGTTTGAAAACTGGACCTTGGGAATTTGAGCAAGAAGTGAATAGCCAATAGAGTGGATAATCTGACAGTTGGTTTGGATTTCATTATGGCTAATTACTATAATAAATACCAGGAAAGCTGTCTTACAAATTCATTCTGTAGAAATTCCCTTGAAAGATGTGGCCCAGGTGAAACAAATTGTTTGTAAGCAACTGGTTTGCTGTTAGCAAATTGTCTTACCTTGAGGGGCTAAAAATCATAATAAGAGCTACATGTGGTGGTAGCTTTCCAGCAAGGGGAAGATAGGGAGTAGTGAGACCTGCTTTGAGACCCAAGGGGAATTTTAGCTGCTATAGTTCTTGTGGAACTGAAGCAGGAATGGATCTCTGTTCATTTGCTGAATGAATGTTTCAGACAAACAGCAAATAGTACAAAAAGGGACCCATGGTGGCAAAATGAGAACATGTAGATCGAGTAAATGCTGGTATAGGAAGAAAGGGGTGAAGGTGAGCTCCCAGAGGCTATGTCTACACTACCGTGGTAAGTCTACCTACACTACGCAACTCCAGCTACGTCCCTTAGGTCAAGTTACCACAGGGTCTACACTGCAGGGGGTCGACAGGAGAAAATCTCCCATCGGATGTTGCCAGGGTAGAGTACAGGAATCGACTGGAGAGCGATCTGTAATTGATTTGGTGGGTCTTTACTAGATCTGCTAAATCGACAGCCGGTGGATCGATCTCGTTGATCCTGGCTCAAGTGTAGACCTTCCCAGAGTTTCTGTTGACCTTGTTCCAATGCAGTGCTGTACATTTTAATGACTAGCAGCAGAATGGTCTAAGAGACTTTCTGGTTAGGAATCAAATTGTTCTGATTCTACAAAGATATAGATTGTACTGCCTTGGTCCACCACAAGATTGACATTTAACAGCTACCTAACCACTTACCAGAAACAAAAAGGGAAGAGGTTTTAAAAGCCACTGAAGAAATGTATCAGGAAGACATAACTGAGCCTTCAACCAGTTCTTGGGCCTCACCCATAATGCTGGTTAAGAAATAAACATGGCAGCATCAGATTCTGTGTGAATGATAGAAAACCACTTCAAAGGATTCATTAAATAGATGATACCTTGGATGCTGTAGCAGGTTCACTCTGGTTTTCCACAATGATTCTTAAAAGTGGCTGTTGGCAAGTGGAAGTAGGAATGGAATTCACAGCAGGCCAAGGCCTGAGGCAATTTAAAGTGACGGCTTTCAGTGCCCATCTAGATTGATCCCAGGTAGGAGCCTGTCCCATCCTTTCCTTGAGTGACATTGGAGCAGAATCCACAGTCTGCAGGGATGGATTTGAGTCCTGGTTTCCACGCTTACCTACTGTGGTTTAATTCTCTTCTTCTCTCAGCAGGTGACAGGGCGGCAAGTGAGGATGAGGAGACTCCTCAGCAGGAAGTGGAGCCGTGTGGGACAGTCCCGGGGCTTGTTCCAGCCTGCCAGAGCCAGGGTGGACCAGGGAGGCTGCGTGTGAACCCTCCGAAGATGAGGCGTCGCCGGTCTGCGCACCGTGAGAGGGGCTTCATCAACCTGCTGGGCATTCTGGAGCCCCGGCGCCCAGCAGACAAGCCCTACCGGTGCACGGAGTGCGAGAAGAGCTTCAGCCAGAGCTCGAATCTCATCGAGCACCAGCGGATCCACACGGGCGAGCGCCCCTTCACCTGCAGCGAGTGCGAGAAGAGCTTCAGCCGCAGCTCCACCCTCATTGAGCACCAGCGCACCCACACGGGCGAGAAGCCCTACACCTGCCCGGAGTGTCAGCGGAGCTTCAGCCGCAGCTCCACCCTGACCGAGCACCAGCGCACCCACACCGGGGAGACCCCTTTCCACTGCCCCGAGTGCGGCAAGCGCTTCAGCCGCACCTCCAACCTGGTGAAGCACCTGCGCACCCACACGGGCGAGAAACCCTACGGCTGCCGGGAGTGCGGCAAGCGCTTCAGCCTCAGCTCCAACCTCATCAAGCACGAGCGCACCCACACCGGGGAGAAGCCCTTCGCCTGCGGGGAGTGCGGCAAGCGCTTCAAGAAGAAGACCCACCTGGTGTCCCACCACCGCACCCACACCGGGGAGCGGCCCTACGAGTGCACGGAGTGCGGCAAGCGCTTCAGCCAGAGCTCCACCCTCATCGAGCACCAGCGCATCCACACCGGCGAGAAGCCTTTCCGCTGCCCCGACTGCGGGAAGTGCTTCTGCGTCAGCTCCAACCTCATCAAGCATCAGCGCATCCACACTGGGGAGAAGCCCTATGGCTGCAGCGCCTGTGGGAAGAGCTTCCGCTACAAGCCCCAGTTCACCCGCCACCAGAAGCTGCACCAGGGGGAGGGAGAGGAGCCAGTGGCTGTCCTGACCCTGGGGCCGTGGGCTGCGGCAGCCCCACTCATACAGATCACGGAGACTGTTTAAAGCAGGCAAGCGCCCACCCCGGGGATGAGGGAGATCAGGGACTAGAGCCAGCGTGTGGTTGAGCTCTGTTGGGTCGAGCGCTGAGCTGGAATTGACGTGTGTTTCTCTAAGCTGTTCGGCCCAGCTCTGATTCACTTGCAGCTGGAGTTTCTCTGATTCCTGTTTTAAGAATATGGGAATTCCTGATGGGCGTGTCTAGCTCAGCATTCCACCCCCAACACTCCCTGCCACTCCAGTGCAGACCAATGTGGTATTCCTCCTCCTGCTTTCCTACATCTAATCCTGTATCCCCACTCCTTGCTATTCCACATCAGACTAATGGGCCCATCTAACCTGATATGCCCCCTTCCCTGCTTCTGCAGATCAGATCAATAGGTCTGTCTAGTCCAGTATCCTCCCCCTTTCCTGGTGGATCAAAATAACTGAAAGTTTCCCATTCAGCTCCCTGCTCCCCCAGGTCAGCCCAATGGGACTGTCTAGCCCAATATCCCCCCTACTCCCTGCCATGTTGGGTCAGACTAACGGACGCATCTAGCCCAATATTTCCCACACCCATCACTGTGGCACCAGTTCAGACTAATGGTCCATCTGGTCCAGTATCCTACCTCCAAGAGTGGCCAATGCTAGATGCTGCAAAGGAAATGTTGAACGCACTTCACTGTGCTGTGTACCACTGAGGGAGAAAGCAGTTCCTTCCGGACTGCAACTGGCTCTCGGCTTCCATGGTGGATCATGAGGGTAAAATGTCCTTGACATTTCAGTGTTTATCCTGTCCAGTGTCACTGCGGGTGCTATTCTTATTCCTACAAACATTAAATCTTTTTTTTTTTTTTTTTTTTTTATGATTTAGTGAGATACTTTCCTCCATAATATCCTGCTGCAGGGAATTCCACAGGTTAACAATGTCACTTTCTATTGCCATTCCCTGGCAATACAGCGGAGGAAATCCCACAAAGCAGGCTAAGACCATTGGAAGGCTGTTGTTCCTTAGGTCTTGACTACAATTAGCTTGCGGCAAGCGGGGTGTCAGTCTACTCTGTGCTAGCCAGCCACAGACTAGCTGTCCCTGTGGACCCTACTGACACATATTAACAGTTCATTAATGCACTTTGATCTAGTCCAATTTCAAAGAAGACTTTCTGCCAACATTTAGTCTGCAGCAGGCTAGTGTGGAGTCGATTCACAACTCAGCTTGCCACAAACTAAATGTTCGTGTAGACAAACCCTTAGACTGTGAACAGCAAGTCCTAAAGCTGGCAGCCCCAGCTCTTGCAGGATCTGGACTGGCATTTGAGGCCTCATGCCACTGCAAAAGGAGCAAATGTCTGGAAGATCAGAGATTGGGTGGGGAAAAAATCCTGTGAAATGGACATTCTAGTTATTGCAAGAGGTGGGGACCTTGCGTAGGTAGCGTGGCCTGAAGCCATCACCATTTGATGGTGTCAGAGTCCCTTACATGGAACCAGTCGATTGGGTCTCAGTCTTGTTCTTAGCAGGGTGGGTGTGTCTGCCACAAAATCACCATTACATTGGCACTTAACAGTTCCCTTGTTGGCAGTAAGGTTAAAGACTGAAAAGGGGCCGAACTCACCTTTGCCCCTTACAGAGGCGGTATCGCAATATGAGGCGCAAGGGAATTGTGTGTTCCTGTGCTACCCATTCGGGGGGATATGCCAAGAGCTTCGGTCCGGTGCCCTCCATTTCGTCTTGTTTCATCCAAACATGGGGCTGGAGCAGGATGTGACCAAGGCTCACAAAGCTGCGGGGAGCGAGGCAGAGGGCAGAAGGAGCATTTCAGATTCCAGCTTGGACTGGGATCCCCAGGAGCTCAGGAGAGGCCAGGAGACTCACTGCTTCTCCTGGGAAATTAGATGGAGTGATATGTTAAGACAAGTGTCCTCTTGTCTTCTAGACATCGGCCACTGGGGGAAATAAACCATCTTCCTGTCTCAGATGTTTAGACTAGATGACCCTTGTGGTCTCTTCCAACCCTGTGGTTCTATGATTTTATTTTATTTTTTATTTTTTTTTTTGGACAAACCCACAGGCACCTGCCAAGATGGAGCAAGTATAAAGGTTTTTGCCTGTACACTGCACTAGTTCTGTGTCCCACCAGGCTAAGAACGTGGTGCATGACTAGGCAGAGGATGCTGATGCCGTGTGAGAGCCAAGGGAGCCTGTGAATTACGGGGAGATGGATTTGATCTGGACAGATGTCTCTCTATTTTCCTTTTTTTTTTCTTTCCCTGTAAAGCTTGGAAATTAATCTCTATTTGAATGGGGGGAAGGGTTGTAGTGGGGAGTGCCTGAATGTTGAGGTCACCTATTGGCTCTCTTAGCTGCCTTCCTAAACCTTCAGCCTGTAGGTCACTAATGCAAATCAGCCTAGGACAGTTGCAGTTAGCATGCCAGTGACCCCTGTATGAAACAAGTTTGCTGAGCCTCAGTCTGCTTCCCAGCAGGCGAGCATCCACATCCCTTAATCATCAGCACTAATCCTTAGCCCCAGCAGAAAGGCTGAGGACTGAATGGACCACGGGGACTAAGCTCCTTTCTCTTTCTCCCCTCTTCCCCCCTCAAGACATCCCTTCAGGCAGGGTTGAACCCATTCTGGGAGTACACAGAGGATCCAGTCTCCAGGGCAGGGTGAGGCACAGCGGGAGGGGCACAGGGTGTGTGTGTTGGGCAAGCTCCATCTCCCACTTCCCAGGCTCCTATGAACGTGCCTAGAGAATCCAGTCTCCCAGGGCACCTTTACCTGGGATTAAATTCACACCCAAATATAAACTCAATATTATTTTTAATAAAGCAAAATGTAAACTAGGGATAATTCAAAGAGGTTGCTTCCGACAAGAGTTAGCCCTGTGATTCTGGAGTGATGATCACAGAGGTAGGTAGGTAGATAGGAGGTGACTCTTAGTGTAGGCTTTACTGTATATGGTTTCAAACCCCTGTATTAAGAGGGATTACTATATTAGACTCTTCATGGTTATAAAGACAACGTTCTTAGGTGCTTGATTGTGGTGTTACATTGCCATATAGACTAGTTCTCATGTGTTTTAACAGCCCTACTTTGAGATAATGTTAGAGCTGAGATTTTAATTCTCGCACAGAAGCCAGGTTGACATTCAAAAGCAAAGCTTTTGATCCTGAATATTAACTCTACTCATTATGAATAGACACTTAAATAGGGTCCTTCCGTTAACATGTTGAAAAGAGAGGTGGTCTGAGCAGAGGACTGGATATCATGATTCCTGGGTTCTGATCGCAGCTTGATGAGAGGTGTGGGATCTAGTTGTTACAGTGGGGGGAGGAGGGAGAATTGGAAATCAGGATCCCTGGATTCAATTCCCGGCTTTCGGAGGGGAGTGGTGACTAGAATTGGAAGGGTGAGGGGAAGATGGGAATTCAGGCCCCGCAGATTCTATTTCCAGCTCTGGGAAGGGAATAGAGTCTGGTGGTTAGAGCTAGGTGGTAGCAGGATAAAGATTCCTATGTTGTATTTCCAGTTTTGTTATTTACCTGCAGTGTGACTTCAGAGGACTTATCTCAACTAAGTTATTCCTGATTTACACTCGTGTAAGTGAGAGCAGAATCAGACGTGGAGACCTTGAGATTTGATCCATGCAATGCACAGTTCTTTATATTTCATTCTCAAATCACAGGAACATCCAGTTCCTCACTAAATATTCTGGGTAGTACAGTCCAACACGCATTTCCTAAACTAAAGAGTACTGTAAATAGACCTGCGATTAGAGGACATTCCAAACACTACATGGACAAATTGCTACATTACTTAGGGTCTATAGGCAGTGACGCAAATGGCAACCTGATATTAAATGGCATCGCATATCCATTGTGGTAGTGATTTAGCACATAGTATCATTTAGCAGAATGCCATGGGAAATGACCCAGTGTTGAATGATTATGTAATAAAGGATCACATTGTTTAATTTGATAATAGGGAGCTCTTACCTGACCACATAAGTCTGGGTCATTCTGTCTAATTCTGTTTTGTAAATTTAAATGTAACAGATTTTCTTTTTGTGAATTTTCATGTAAACTATGCTGACTTCTTATTGGCTAGCCAGATTGCACATGCAGTACTGCCAACCCTATGTGTTCAAAGTCCATGAATCAGTGTCCTCCCTCCCCCCATCCCCCAAAAGATGGGCTTTAAAAATCATGACTTTTTTAAAACATGAAAAATTTGTGGTTCGTTTTCTTTGCTTTCTTTGAGCCTTTAGAGGCCGCCTTTTCACACTTTTCTCTGTAACCACAAGGGCTAGAAACTTATTTTTTGGAATGAAACCTGAGATTTTTCACATAGTCAGATGGGTTCAGGAGGTGAGATGCTAAGGAAAAACAACAAGTATTGTGAGACTTGCAATAAAATCACAAGAGATGACAACACTACATACATGAAACATCCACTATATGAATCTAAAATCAATCTAACTCCAGAACCACTTCAGAGGCTTATGATAACAACGCAGGAGATTTAGCTTTAACTGTCAATACTACTAGGGCTAATCTCTCTGTGCCTTGGCTACTGTAGGACTTCTGTGTCAGAGATGCTCTTGATTCATTAAATCAAATGTTACTGTGTCGTTTTGTTTTGGCAGACATAACTCAGGTTCTCTGCTCTTGTGTCTGGTTGTTTTGTACTGACTGTATTCCTGCTTAACTCCTACTGTTTTCTTTCTTTGTTGTAAAACATCAGTAGACTGTCACCGAAAATAAATGTGAAAGTCCCTGAAATGTCAGCTTTGTCTTGCAGTGTGTTGTGAAAGTGGCGCACTCTGGGAGGGGAGTGGTTCCTAATGATTAGAGCTGGGGTGGGCCTGGGAGTCTGGAGTCCTGGGTTCTGTTCTCAGCTCTGGGAGGGGAGCGGGCTCTCTTGGGTTAGAGAGGGGGCGGGCTGGGAGCCAGGACTCTTGGGTTCTATTCCAGCTCTGGGAGGGGAGTGAGGTCTGGGGGGTTAGAGCAGGGGGCGGGCTGGGAGCCAGGACTCTTGGGTTCTATTCCAGCTCTGGGAGGGGAGTGAGGTCTGGGGGGTTAAAGCAGTGGGGGCTGGGAGCCAGGACTCCTGGGTTCTCTCCCAGCTCTGGGAGGGGAGTGAGGTCTGGGGGGTTAAAGCAGTGGGGGCTGGGAGCCAGGACTCCTGGGTTCTCTCCCAGCTCTGGGAGGGGAGCGGGCTCTGGTGGGTTACAGCAGGGCGGGGCTGGGAGCCAGGAGTCCTGCCTAGGTTCTTGTCCCAGCTCTGGGAGGGGAGTGGGAACTCACAACTAAAGAAAAGGGGGGGCTTGGATACATGATTTCCCCTGCCAGCTTTGGGAGGTGGTGATAAGGGGCAAATCATGCTGCCAAGGGTAACAGGGAGGAGGGGACCCTGGGGGGGGGGGGAGGAGAATGGTGCATGCTGGGATACCAGCTGACAATGGGGCAACAGCTCATCTTTATTAAGAACAGTGTATCCTGCAGGAACCAAAACACAGGGGCCCTCCAGGCCTGTCTCCTAGCAACAGCTGCTCTCCCCCCGCCCGGTTTCCGCTTCGTCACGTGACCCCGGGGCTATGACATCATCACCGGGCTCCCCCTGGAACGCTGGGCTGAGCCGATGGACGGGTCTCTGCGGGGAGCCCCGGCTGCCGCCTTGACTCGCCCGCTGAGCGGGATTCCCGGAGCCTGCCCCGGTCGCCCCCATGGAGCGCGGGGCTGAGCCGCGTGGCCCGGCTCTGCGGGGCTCTGCGGAAAGGGAGAGCCCAGGTGATGAATCAGTGACACCGGCTCACAGGGTCCGGGGGAGAAGGGAAAAGCTGCGGCCCCAGCAAGGCTTCCCCCACCCCCTTTTTGTCTGGCTCAGGACCTTAGGGTAGGCTCCTGCCTGTCCTGAGGACCCCCGCCGCCCCCCAAACTCAGAGGGGATATTGGGGCAGAACCAGACTCTCCTCTGGGGAAAGGTCTATCCAGGATTTGGTCCCTGTTGATCAGGGTCTTATACCCCTTTGCCATCCCCTTTCTTCCTGGTGCAGGGTAGGAATGCCTTTCCCCAGCTGTTGAGCAGGTTGTGTAGATCATCCTTGAATCAAGGGATCACCGATGATGGTGATGATTTATTAGGTGTATTACGATAGCCCCTATGAGCCCAGTCGTGGATCAGGGTCCCCCCCCAGGGCTAGGTGCAGTACATTGTGTATTACAGTGGTGCTTAGGAACCATTGTGCTGGATGCTGTAAAGACACAGAGCAGAGTACCTGCCCCAAAGAGCTGACAATCCAAGCGCTTTGCTGGCTGTCGGAAGACATAATCACAGTGATCCCTTCTATCCTGATAATCTGTTAATCCTTCTTCTGGCAGGTGTTGGGACAGCAAGTTCAGCAGAGCCACGTGGGACGTCCCCCAAGGTCTGTGTCCCGGGGCACCAGCCGAGAGACCCTCCCAGGAGGAGACGGATTAAACACGCTTGCGCCGAGCCGGGCTTCATCAACCTTTTGGGCATCCTGGAACCTCCCCACTCTGCCGCCCGGCGGCCAGCAGACAAGCCCTACCGGTGCACGGAGTGCGAGAAGAGCTTCGGCCAGAGCTCGGTGCTGATCGAGCACATGCGGATCCACACGGGCGAGCGCCCCTTCGTCTGCGGCCAGTGTGGCAAGCGCTTCAGCCAGAGCTCCACGCTGCTGGGCCACCAGCGCACCCACACGGGCGAGAAGCCCTTCACCTGCCCGGAGTGTCAGCGGAGCTTCAGCCGCAGCTCCGCCCTGACCGAGCACCAGCGCACCCACACCGGGGAGACCCCTTTCCACTGCCCCGAGTGCGGCAAGCGCTTCAGCCGCACCTCCAACCTGGTGAAGCACCTGCGCACCCACACGGGCGAGAAACCCTACGGCTGCCGGGAGTGCGGCAAGCGCTTCAGCCTCAGCTCCAACCTCATCAAGCACGAGCGCACCCACACCGGGGAGAAGCCCTTCGCCTGCGGGGAGTGCGGCAAGCGCTTCAAGAAGAAGACCCACCTGGTGTCCCACCACCGCACCCACACCGGGGAGCGGCCCTACGAGTGCACGGAGTGCGGCAAGCGCTTCAGCCAGAGCTCCACCCTCATCGAGCACCAGCGCATCCACACCGGCGAGAAGCCTTTCCGCTGCCCCGACTGCGGGCGCGGCTTCTACGTCAACTCCAAGCTGGTCAAACACCGGCGCATCCACACTGGGGAGAAGCCCTATGGCTGCAGCGCCTGTGGGAAGAGCTTCCGCTACAAGCAGCAGTTCACCCGCCACCAGCAGCTGCACCAGGGGGAGGAGCCTGTGGCTGTCCTGACCCTGGGTGGGGTCAACGTCCTCCTGACTTAGAGTACGGGAATTCCTCGGGCCTCCTGTCTTGGAGCACGGGAATTCCTCCTCTTGATTTCCTGCAGCTCCGGGAGTGGGATCTGGGGCAGGGAGGCTGAGAGTCAGGACTGCCGGGTTCAATCCATGGCTCTGGAAGGGGAGTGGAATTTAGTGGTTAGAGCAGGTGGGGGCAGGACTCCTGGGTTCTCTTCCTGGATCTGGGAGGGGATTGAGTTCTGGGGGTAGGGCAGGTGGGCTGGTATACAGGACTCGGATTCTACCCAGAGCTCTTGGGGGGGGGGGTCTGGTGGGTTAGCGCAGGGTGGCCAAGAGTCAGCACTAATGAGTTCCGTTCCCAGCTGTGGTTGTGTATTTGGGAATTTGTTGGGAAAGAGGTTGCGAGTAGCTGAAAACTGATGTTATGGTGAGCCTTGGTTTAAGCTACCAGGACATCACCAGAGCTAACCTCCAGGTTAGTGGTTCCAATCTAGCTGAGGCAAGATGCTCCCAGCCTAAGAGATACTAATTCAGTGTGTTGGAACCTTTCCCACAGCAAGACTGCCCTGGGATTCCCCTCCCATCTAGGGCATGGTGGTCACACACCTGTTCATGACTCCCCTGGTTGGGTCAGAGCTCCCAGGCTGGGAGTCTACACACTAGTTATTGTCACACTAGATGAAAGATCTTTAGAGTAGGCTTCACTTTATACAATTGAGAACCCTTCCATTATAGCGACTAACAGACTGTAGACTCTAAACAGTTCCAAAGGGAGTGTTCTCGGTCTCTTGGCTGTGTTATATTGGTTTGTATGCACTAGTTGTGTGTTTGTGTGTATTGGTAAAATACCAACCCTGCACTGATAGGGTGCTAAGGTTGAGACGTATAAATAGTTGCAGGGAGGTCGGGGGCGGGGGGGAATTAAAGTCTAAACTTCCCTCCTCAGTATTAACCTCATTGCACCAAGTCATTGTAACAGGGTCCATCCATTGCAGCAGATGAGAGGAGGAGCGTATCTCCATTGGCAAATTGACTGCAGTAGCTCCCTGTGTGGGTTCTCTGTTCTGAGAGAAGAGGGATTTGATACTAGAGAAAGTGGTCCACTTCAGAAGCTCACTAATTATTCCAGAATAGAGTGGCCATGTGGGGATCTTATTCCACATAGATTCTGGTCAGTTTCCCCATATAGACAAGCCTTAAAAGGAGGATTGGGAGCCAGTATTCCTGGTGTCTCTTCTCCTCTAAGGGTGGAGTGTGTGGTCTAGTTAGAGCAGAGAGGACTGGGAGTCAGGACACCTGGGTTCTATTGCTATCTCTCCTGCTGACCATTAGGGGACAAGTAATTTCCTCGCTCTCAGTTTCCCCACTCTTAAATAGGGTGATAACACTACTGACCTGAGTTTTTATTAGTTAATATTTATAAGCACGATAGAAGTATTAGTACTGTAAATAGACCTACCACTAGAGGGCATTCAGTACACTATATGGATGAATTATGATGTTATTTAGGGTCAATAGACAGTGACTCAAATTACTACCTCCTTGCATCTGAGGCTATGATGGAAAAAAGATGCACATCCCTAGTGTTACGTACAGTCCGGTGTTGTCTGGCCGAGTGCTATGCTCAAGTGGGCCATTGTCCAGTGGTCACATAGTAAGGGATCATATTGTTTATTCTAGGAATACTGGGCTATAGCCTTGGATCATCCTAATTCTGTTTTGTGAATTTCAGCCTTGTGGGTTTTAGTTTTGTGAATTTAAATGTAATCCAAACAGATGTTCTCGTTATTGGCCAAACTATACCCATAGCTGTTGGCAACACAAATCAAAGGCCTAAAGACTATGCTTACGGTAATATAAAAGATTCACTGTAGCTAGTTCTGATATACTGTTTGCTGGTCCATGGATAGAAGCCAACAATTTTATACACGTACTTGAGTCATTATGTTGGAATAAAGTTTTATTGTGTCCTGTCCTAGATTCTCTCCTCCCTATCTGTGATTGTCTTGTGTTGACTGTACTCCTGATTAACTGATAACGTTTTCATTGACGTAAAACCTCAATAAATCATATATATTTCAAAATCCTTATCGGATTGGGAGTGTGTTTTATAGGCACTTTGGAACGGGAAGAGGGTTGCAGCACAGGAGGCTGGGAATCAGGACTTGTCGGTTCTCTATCCCAGCTCTGGGAGAGGAGTGGGGTCGAGTGGGTTAGAGCAGGGTGGGAGGAGAGCTAGGACTCCTGGGTTCTATGCAGGGGGATGGGGTGACAGGGAGGGGCACAGGCTGGGCAATGGGGAGTGGTGCATGCTGCGACATGGAGGGGCACTGGGACAAGGAGCAATTCATGCTGAGATACTAGGGTGACCAGGTGTCCAGTTTTCGACTGGAACACCCAGTCGAAAAGGGACCCTGGCGGCTCTGGTCAGCACGGAGGTGCTGTGGAGCTAAGGCAGGCGAGTCCCTACCTGTCCTAGCAGTATGCTGCACCCAGGAAGCAGCCAGCAGGTCTGGCGCCTCGGCTGGGGGGGGCGGCCGCGGGGCTCTGCGCGCTGCCCCCGCCCCGAGCACCGGCTCCACGCTCCTGTTGGCCGGGAACCACGGCCAGTGGGATCTGGGGGGGAAGGGGGGGTGCCTGCGGGCGAGAGCCGCGTGGCACAAAGCCGCCTGCCGCGCCTCCGCCTAAGAGCTGAACCTGCCAGCTGCTTCCAGGGCGCAGCCCTGTCCGCAGGGCCCGGACACGCGGGAAGCCTGCCTTAGCCCCCTCCTTGCACTGCTGACAGGAGTGGCCGCAGGTAGGCCTGTGCCCCCACCCTGTGCCCCCCCAGCCCCCCATTTCCGGCCCCACCCCGGAGCCCGCACCCCCTCCCGCACCCCAACCCCCTGCCCCAGCCCAGGGAAGGGGAGGGAGAGCGAGCCACCGGGGGGGGGGGATGCAGTGAGTGGGGGCGGGGCCGCGGGCTGGGGGGGTTCAATTTTGTGGGATTAGAAAGTCGGCAACCCCTGGGGGATGCGGGGGCGGGGGGGCGGTGAACACTGGGAAACTGGGGCGCACGGAGATGGGGCGAGGAGGAACGGTGCATGCTGGGATACTGGGGGACGTAGGGATATTGGGGGGTGGGGCGCGGTGCACGCAGGGACACGGGGGTGAGGGATGGGGCGCGGTGCATGCTGGGAAACTGGGGGCCGCAGGGATACGGCGGCGGGGACGCGGGGCATGATGGGATACTAGGGCGCCTCCCAGGCCCTTCGCTCTCCCCTCGGCGGCCGCGGTCACGTGACGCGGGCGAAACGTCACCTCCGGGCGCCCGCCACGCGCAGGCTGCGGGGGGGGGGCGGTTTGTTGTCCCAAGTCACTTCCGGTGACGCAGTTCCGGCCTGTCATGGCGGCGGAGCAGGGCGGGGCAGGTGGCGGGAGCCCCCCCGGGCTGGACCCGCTGCGCGGGGCGGGCGGCGAGGAGGAGCGGGAGGCCGACGGGCGCGGAGCGGCCCGGCCCCGGCCCCGGCCCCCGAGCCCGGGGCCGCTGCGCGAGGCCGAGGTCACCGTGGAGATCGGGGAGACCTACCTGTGCCGGCGGGCGGACGGGACCTGGCGTGAGAGACCCGCCCCGCGGCCCCCCCCGACCCCGCCCCTCGCGATTCCCCCCCCCGCGGCGCGACCCCTCGCGATTCCCCCCCCCGCGGCGCGACCCCCCCCCGACCCCGCCCCTCGCGATTCCCCACCGCGATTCCCCCCCACCCCGCCCCTCGCGATTCCCCACCGCGATTCCCCCCCCCGACCCCGCCCCTCGCGATTCCCCCCCCCGCGGCGCGACCCCCCGACCCCGCTCCTCGCGATTCCCCACCGCGATTCCCCCCCGACCCCGCCCCTCGCGATTCCCCCCCGCGGCGCGACCCCCGACCCCGCTCCTCGCGATTCCCCACCGCGATTCCCCCCGACCCCGCCCCTCGCGATTCCCCCCCCCGCGGCGCGACCCCCCCGCGGCCCGACCCCGCCCCTCGCGATTCCCCCCCCCGCGGCGCGACCCCTCCCGACCCCGCCCCTCGCAGTCCCCCCCCAAACCCTGCCCCTCACAATCCCCCCAGACCCCGACCCTCGCCCTGTCCCCCCTCCCCTCAGCACCACCCCACGCCCCCACTCCATGGCCCCTGCTGTGAGCCCCTCCAGCCCTCCCCCGCCATCCTCTAGCTCTCCCCATCCCTGTGCTGGTGCACAGAGGGGACCTGGGGTGAGAGACCTGCCCCTCTTGTGATACTTCTCGCTGATCTCTCTGTTCCCCAGGGCCACCTGCCATCAGACCTCCCCTGCCCCTGTACCCAGCCATGTGCCCACAGGACCTGGCATAAGGCCTTCCCCTCGCAATATGTCCCAGGCCCACCCCTGTTTCACTACACCAGTATAAACGGATTTTAAGCATCCCCTGTTTCAAGCAGTTGTGAGATTTAGGACATGCCTGCACAGAGATTTCATGGGGAAGCTATTGCAAAATAAGCCAGAGTGTAAATTTAAAGCGCAGCAATTATTCCCTACTAGCTCCATGGGTGGACGCTCTTGTTCCGCACTAAGAATGCTCTTCCCCCCGCCAGGGGGGCATGCCCTGAGTAGAGTACTTGGTTACCCTTCAGCGGAACGGGGTTATCATTTTCAAGGACATACATCATTGCGCCTAACCGGTTCCTGCTCTCCACAAGCACCTAGGCTGGTGCTAACCTGGTGATTGCCTTGCAGACTCGGCCGAGGTCATCCAGTCACGACTCAACGAGCAGGAGGCTCGGGAGGAATACTACGTGCACTATGTCGGATGTGAGTGCAGCCCTGAGTTTTCTGCTCCTGGGGGGAGGGATCAATGTAGGTGGCTATTTATTAGGCGCACTACGGTAGTGCCTAGGATTGTGGCGGTGTTAATTCCTTTCCCACCGTAGTTTATGTTCAGTAACTGCCTCATTTTCACCTTTAAAATGAGTCTCTCACCCATACCCCCCAAATTGATGGAGAATTAGCCTGCAGAACTCCCCGTTGCAGGATTTTCTTCTGTAGCATCTGAGATCTAAGGGTATGTCTAGGCTGCCTGGCTTTGGGAGGGGTGTGGTTTCCAGAAGGCTAAAACACCTGGGGGTCAGGACTGCTTGGTTCCAGTGACCAGCTGTTGAGTGTTTGGGGACGTGGTGAAAAAGTCACTCTGCACCGTGAGGCTGGATAGACTTGTTCAAGGTTCCATCCTATCCCCTTGCCCAACCCTAACCACAGTCAACCGGCGTCTGGATGAGTGGGTAGATAAGAACCGGCTGGCCCTCACCAAGACAGTCAAAGATGCGGTGCAGAAAAACACAGACCAGTACATGAACGAGCTGTCAGAGCAACCCGAGCGTAAGATCACCCGCAACCAGAAGCGCAAACATGACGAGATCAACCATGTTCAGAAGGTAAGTACATCAGGGGGTGCTGTGTGGCAGGGATCGGGGTTGTGGGGGCTCAGTAAGGGGTGCTCTCCTCTTGCAGTCAGTCCTGGACCCTGTGCAGTGCTAGGGGTGGAAGATTCAGTGAGGATTCAACTAAAGTCTGTGCTACAGCAGAGAAGTTACCTGATATTCTGCTGTTTTCCCACAGACGTATGCAGAGATGGATCCTACCACAGCTGCCCTGGAGAAGGAGCATGAGGCGGTGAGTGCCCCTGGGGCAATGGCATGGCCTGGCATCTAAATGGACAGGACCCTGGCTCCTTGCTCTGATCACTAACCGGGAGTGTCCTCCCTCCCTCTCCCCAATCCCAGATCACCAAGGTGAAATACGTAGATAAGATCCACATCGGCCACTATGAGATCGACGCCTGGTATTTCTCACCCTTCCCGGAGGATTATGGGAAGCAGCCCAAACTGTGGATCTGCGAGTACTGCCTGAAATACATGAAGTTCGAGAAGAGCTACAGGTACCACCTAGTAAGTAAGGACCAAGTCGCAGTATTGTCGGAGCTGTGGAGGGGGGGAGCCCAGGGCTGTGGGCTGGAGTTGAGGGGCAATGGTGTATCTGTTCGGGGAGAGGGGCAGCCGAGGGCTGGGGAGAGTGGGGGCAGGGTTTGGGTGGGGGAACTAACCCAGGGCTGGCATAGCAGGGGGCTGCGTGTGGGGATTGAGGGGCACCGGCAGCACTGTGTTGGCTTGGCCAGCGTCTGAGAGTTTCTCCGTCTCAGGGCCAATGCCAGTGGAGGCAGCCCCCGGGGAAGGAGATCTACAGGAAGAACAACATCTCTGTCTATGAAGTGGATGGCAAAGATCACAAGGTGAGGCAGTGCTGCTGGCCATCCCATGTGTGGCCACTGGGGAATTCCCTGCTACCACGGGACCTTTGTCCTTCTCCGAGGAGCCCAGTACGTCTCTGTCCAAACAAAGGCTGCAGGGCTATAGATCAGAACTCCCCATCTGGGCCTGTCTAGCCTGTCCCCACCCGGGGCAGGAGCACCCCTGACATTCGGTTCCCCAGCAGCGATGCAGTCTCTTCGGCAGGGCCCACCTGAACCCATCCCACCCAGGACAGGATCATCCCCAGCGGTCTGCTCCCCAGGGCTCCCCCGTTCTGGGCTCCCACTCCTTCCCTGTGGCTCACTGTTTGTCCTTGGTGCCCCAAGCTGGGCAAGTCCTGTGCTGTCTGATGATTGCTTTTCTCGTCCGTGCTCAGATTTACTGCCAGAACCTGTGTCTCCTGGCCAAGCTCTTCCTAGACCACAAGACCCTCTACTTTGATGTTGAGCCCTTTGTCTTCTACATCCTCACCGAGGTCGACAGGCAGGGCGCCCACATCGTCGGCTATTTCTCCAAGGTAACAGCCTGGAGCCCATGCTGAGAGGCCAGCATAGAGCATGGGAGCTGGGTTCTTCCTGTTTTCTTTCCCCAGCTCTGGGAGGGAAGTGGGGTCTAGTGGGTTAGAGCGGGGGGCTGGGAGCCAGGACTCCTGGGTTCTATCCCCAGTCCTGGGATGGGAGTCAAGCGGATTGGGAATCGGAACAACCTTTTGTCAGTTTGCACCAGTCCTCCCCCATTCTGCAGCGATTTTGGACAGATCTGAGTCATCTCTGAGCCCAGATGTGGAAAACTGTTTTCCCCCTCCTGTGCCAGTCTGTGCCCAGCCCCTCTCCACCTCGGTACGCTGCCCTGTCCTCCCCCACTCCTAGGAGCTCCGATGTGGCTCTGCGGTAACCCTGTGTCTGTGCATTCTTTGTGCTCAGGAGAAGGAGTCTCCAGACGGGAACAACGTGGCCTGTATCCTCACCTTGCCCCCCTACCAAAGACGGGGCTATGGCAAGTTTCTCATCGCTTTCAGTGAGTAGCCCTGGTGTCTGCCTTTGTTGTGCTGTCGGCCATGTGTGCAATGAGTTGGTACGTTCTCGAATGGGAGTAACTGGTTCCCTTTTGGGCAGCCAGGAAGTGAACTCCCTGCTGCCCCCTATAGGAGATCCCAGCAGCACAGGGTGGGGATGATTTCTGTCCTGAGACGCCCCTCTCCCCCCAACCTCATTGCACTCACACAGTTCCTGGAGGGGAATGGGGTAGGGTCCCTGCATGCCAAGGCTGGGGGCTCTGATCTCTCCCCACCCCCTTCTCCATGCCCATAGGCTACGAGCTGTCTAAGCTGGAAAGCACGGTGGGCTCCCCAGAGAAGCCCCTCTCGGACCTGGGCAAGCTGAGCTACCGGAGCTACTGGTCCTGGGTGCTGCTGGAGATCCTGAGGGACTTCCGAGGGACCCTGTCCATCAAAGACCTCAGGTGAGCGGGGCAGGGGGGCAGACCGCACCAGGGACTCGGATTGGAGAGCACGCCCCGTTGAGCCCTTTAGTGCTGCATTGGGGCCAGCCCTGACTGAGCGGGGAGAGCGCCCCCTGCTGAACCCCGCCCCACTCTCTGCAGCGCAGTACAGCGCCCCCTAGCGCCGCACTGGGGCCCGCTCTGCCTGCAAGGGGCTCGTACCCCTGACTGAGCCCCACGCCCGCAGTTGTGTTCTCCCATCCAAGCCTTGAACCAGCCCTCCCTCTTAGCACTCAGCCCCACCCTGGTACCACAGCTGCTGCCGACGCCTCTGCCCCCCCTTTCTTGTGCAGCCAGATGACCAGCATCACTCAGAACGACATCATCAGCACGCTGCAGTCCCTCAACATGGTGAAGTATTGGAAGGGGCAACACGTCATCTGCGTCACGCCCAAGCTCGTGGAGGAGCATCTGAAGAGCGCCCAGTACAAGAAGCCTCCCATCACAGGTACTGGGTGGGGAATGGGACATGGGGTCCCTCCCCTCTGGGGGGCGCTGGCTCTGATCCCACCCGAGGGTGGGCGACTGGCTGGGGAGTGGGACAAGGAGCTTTCCCCCAGTAGGGGGCACCAGCTCTGATGCGGCCCTAAGCTTGGGGGGGACTGGCTGGCTCTTGGGGGTGGGGAATGGGACATAGGGCTTTTTCCCCTGGAGGGAACATTGCCCCCTTTGGAAAGGCTGTTGAGGTCCCTGGCATGTTTCTACTCTGCGTGCGGTGGCCCAGAGAGCAGCAAAGCAGCATTAAACCCAGGGTTGTGAGTTCAATCCTTGAGGGGGCAACTTAGGGATCTGGGGCAAAAATTGGGGATTGGTCCTGCTTTGAGCAGGGGGTTGGATGACCTCCTAAGGTTCCTTCCAACACTGAGATTCTATGATTCTAAAGAATCTCATAAGTTCATACTCATCTCCACACAAACCAGTCCTTAAGCCCAAACACAATGCAGCCCTGTTAGAGGCCAGGGTATACACACCCCACTGAACATTCCTTGGCTGCGTTCAGGTTTCGGGCTTCTCTTGAAGCAGGACATTGTTTTCCCAAGGGCAGAAGACAGGCACATCGGGTTATGTAACCAGAGGCTGGGAAAACGGCACTCTCAGCAAGCCAGATCTCCACTTCCCTCTCTCCCAGGGAAAGCTCCAAGCTCTTCGCCAGCTGCAAATGCAGGGATCGCACACCCCTCACTGAAGTGCGACCACTCTGGGGTGGGACTTGCTGGCTAACAGCAACGCTGCACAGCTCACCCAGCTACCTCTGGGCTTGAAATGACAAAGTGGGATTGAAGGAGGAAGAAGAGGATGAATTTTGCTTGGAAACTGGACAAGAGACACTGATTATCCTGGAATCCCCTAATGCCATTGAAGAGTTGTGGAGCGGCTGTTAAACAGCTGCCACACCAGAGATGGCTGCATTTCAGTGCCGGGTGAACCATGCCCCTGCAGTGTTGCTGTTACCCAGCTGCCTCACCCCAGAGCTCAGATCTGGGTGTGTGCTTCCACTGTGTTCCAACACCGACTGCTTTCCCACGGGTGCAGTTTGCTTCCCTATGGTAACTGGCTGAGGGTTTGTATAGAGAGTATTTTTTGGGGTTCTTTATAAAATCACTGGAATAAACCTCTACTTGAAGTGCATTTATACAGCAGCCTTAATGAGAGTCCACCACTTCCCTGTAGCAGCCTTTAAAGAGCCTAAAAAGAATGGAGGGCTGGAGAAAGTGAGAGGCGTAAGGAGCGTGATCTCTTTAGCTTATCGAAAGAAGACCAAGCGGTGATTTGATCCTGGTGTAAAAGTACCTCCCTGGGGAGAAAATGCCGGGTGCTTACAGGCTCGTTAATCTAGTGGAGAAAGGCAGAACAAGAACCAAGGGCTGCAAGTTAAAACCAGACACATTCCAATTTGAAATAAGGAACCAGTTTTTAACAGTGCAGATATGAACTTTTGGAACCAACTTACACTGAGAATGGACCATCCTGATCTAGTCTGACCTGCAAATCGCAGACCACAGAACCTCGCCCACCCACTCCTATAATAGCTCCCTAACCTCTGGTTGAGTCACGGAAGTCTTCAAATCGGGATTTAAAGATTTCAAGTGACAGAGAATCCACCATTGACACTAGTTTAAACCAGCAAGTGACCTGTGCCCCAAGCTGCAGAGGAAGGCGAAAAACCCCAGGTCTCTGCCAATCTGACCTGGGGGGAAATTCCTTCCCGACCCCAAATATGATGATCCCTTAGATCCTGAGCATGTGACTGAGACCCACCAGGCAGAAAGAATTATCTGTAGTAACTCAGAGACCTCCCCATGTAGTGTCCTGTCACTGGCCATTGGGGATATTTGCTGGTAGCAGTTGCGGATCGGCTACATGCAGGCAGCGTCATGCCATCCCCTCCATAAACTCCCCAGGGCAATGGTGAAATGTCTGTTCCTTAATGGCTTCCAGTCCACGCTAGGGGCTTTTCTTGAGGGTGCTTTAGTTGCTGGGTTTGACACAGGGGTGGGTAACAGGCTGAGAGTTGCTGGCTGGTGCTTGAGTGGAGATCGGACGGGCCCTTCTGGCCTGAAAGCAATGGAGGGTGGGGATGTTCATAGATTCTGGCAAACTCACCCCCTCCCCTTTTTCCCTCCTCAGTGGATTCCATCTGTCTCAAGTGGGCACCCCCCAAACACAAGCAGGCCAAGATCTCCAAGAAGTGAAGGAACGGTGGGACACAGGAGTCCAAATGACCCCTCAGTCACATGAGGATCTGGTCTGTGCCCCGCCTGACCACAGAGCACCGGAGCAAACAACCAGCTGGAAGGGCTGGACGTTGTTCATTAGGCCAGCGGCGATTGAGCAGGGCTGGTGTCCTGTCCTGTCGCATCTCATTTCCCTTGAGCGTTGCATGGCAGAATAGGCCCACGGCTGAGCTTTGCCCTCCCGAACAGCACTAGTAAAGGGGGTTCCTCGCACCACTGCCAGTGTCTGCTGCCCCGCTAGTCAGTTGCGTGCTGCACCCTGGTCAATATCACCTTGGTGGACTGGCTAATTTGTCCCTGGTGCCGGCTGCTGGGCAGCCAGCAGTTGAGTCTGGGGCAGGAGGAGGTACTCAGCTGGCAGGGGAGGGGGAAGAGATGCCCAGGGTTGCTAATGGCAGGATGGCACTGCGTGTTCTCTGCTGGGCAAACATTCCCTGTCCAGTTGATCCCCCTGGGCTTGCAAGATAGGGAAGCGGCACTGGGGGAAGGTACTGGGACAGCTGCACCAGGAGGCTGGAACAGGGCAGGGGCACTGTGAGAGTCCCTTCTAACGTACATTTAGCTCTGCCACCGTGCCCCTCCTGCCCTGAGCCGGGGTCTCGGGGAGGGGGGGAGCAGAATGCCATAGCCCTGACTTACCAGCCCACACACATATGCCACCGATGTGCCCCAGCTGCTGCAGGCAAAGCCCACTCTGGCCATGACGATGCCCCTTCTGCTAGGCCTCCTTGATGTGGGCATCTCCCCACTAGGATCTCAGCTGGGTCCCTTCTGGAACCTTTCACGCCCCAGTTGCCACCCTGCTGCTGGGGTTCTTCCCCCTGACCTGCCCCTTTGGCCTGCACTCCTTAGGCCAGGATTCCCTTCACCATCCAGTGCGCCACCTGCCCCTCCTGCTACTGGCATCTCTGTCCCAGTTCTCTTGTCCCCCCTCCTCCACTGCTGGGATCCCTCCCTGATCTCCCATTCCAGAGATCCTGGGATCCCCACAAGGGACTGGAGGAATGTCTGCTGAGTTTGGCTGGTCTCAAGTCAGTTCTTGAACCCCCACCCCCACAAAGCCAAGCTCTGCATGGGGCAGATGTGTATGGGATTCTCCCAGGGCTGGGACACCCCAGTCTAAGGATACACAGAGGATACTGTCTCGGGCCTCTTCCCTCAGCACCAATCTTGCACTCCTCCAATTCCGAGGCTGGTGCCACCAGCTGGAGGTGCAAGTAAGCATTGCTGCCGGGAGGCTGGAGCGTGGGGGAACGGTTGGTGCCGACAGCCCCCAAGCCAGTCCCCACAGCTTCCCTGCACTCTTACTGGCTGCCTACAGGTGTATTTTTTTCTGTTTTAAGAAGTGTATTTTTCATAAATAAAAAGGAAAAGTGTGAACAACCCATGTCTGTCAGGAAGTCTGCCTGGGAATGGTCACACACAGGGTATGGTGCACAGTTTAGCAGGATTGCCCTGGGGTGGGGAATCCTGGCAGGTGCAGTGTGGGGAGAACAAGCTTTGAGGGGGATCAGGGAGGGATCCTAGCACTAGGGCACACAGGCTGGGCTAGGGATCCAGGCAGGTGGGAAGCACAGGCTTGGAGGGATCCTGGCAGTGAGGGAGGCCAAACAGAAATTCATTCCGGGCTGTATTCAGCCTCCCCATCTCTGTCCCAGCCACTCCCCTAAGAGTTAAAACCTCCCCACACCCAGCCTGCTCAGTGCAGGTGCCTCCCCACTGAGGCACCTCTCCCTGACCCTGCCAGCAGGTTCCTTGGAGCGCGTCCAACCCGGATTCACCGAGTATATTAGCACTGCCCAGCCCTGGATTAACTGTTCCCAACACCCAACCTCTTGGCCAGCAAACAAGCTTTAGCCAGATTTGGCCCATCCTTTGCTTTGTGGGGCAGGGCTCCTATAACTGAGTTTTGGGTGTCTGGACACCTGGGTTCTAGCCCCAGCTCTGGGTGGGAAGCGGGGCTGGGAGCTTGGATTCATGGGTTCTAGGCCCAGCTCTGGGAGAACATAAGAGCAGCCATACTGGGTCAGACCAAAGGTCCATCTAGCCCAGTGTCCTGTCTTCTGAGAGTGGCCAGTGCCAGGTGCCCCGGGGGAATGAACAGAACAGAATCATCAAGTGATCCATCCCCTGTCACCCATTCCCAGCTTCTGGCAAACAGAGGCTAGAGACTCCATCCTGGCTAATAGCCATTGATGGACCTATCCTCCATGAATTTATCTCATTCTTTTTGGAACCCTGTTATGGTCTTGGCCTTCACAACATCCTCTGGCAAGGAGTTCCACAGGTTGACTGTGAGTTGTGTGAAGAAATACTTCCTTTTATTTGTTTTAAACCTGCTGCCTATTCATTTCATTTGGTGATCCCTAGTTCTTGTGTTATAAGTAGTAACGAGCACTTCCTCATCTACTTTCTCTACACCAGTCATGATTTTATAGACCTCAATCATATCTCTCCTTAGCTGCCTCTTTTCCAAGCTGGAAAGTCCCAGTCTTATTAATCTCTCCTCAAAGGGAAGCTGTTCCATACCCCTCATCATTTTTGTTGCCCTTTTCTGAACCTTTTCCAATTCCAGTATATCTTTTTTGAGATGGGGCGACCACATCTGCACACAGTATTCAAGATGTGGGCATACCATGGATTTATATAGAGGCAACATGATATTTTCTGTCCTATTATCTATCCCTTTCTTAATTATTCCCAGCATTCTGTTCACTTTGGATGCCAGGGTTCTAGCCCCGGCTCTGGGAGGAGAGCAGGGTTTAGTGGTTAGAACAGCACAAAACCCTTTTTTTAAAGAAACAACAGAGCCTTTCCCATAGTACAGGGCTAATACCCTCTTTATTAAACGCTTCATCTGGAGTCAAACAGCCCTTCCATACCCCACCCGATTTAGAACAAGCAGGAGGTCTGGCCTTATGCCCCAGATAAAAGACAGGCAGACACAGTCCCATGTGCTAACAGTCCCTTGCTCACGCGTGTGATGAACTCTGATCCCTTTAGAACCTGCCCTCACTCAGTGACTCTCCAGAGGTGGAAAAACCAGCTCTGCTGGTGCCACCTGGCCCAGCCCTGGGGGTTCGGCTGACGTTAAGGAGCCGAGAGTGTCCTGCCAGACGTGTCACATTAGAGCCCATCGGCTTGACTCACGCCAGGACTGAAACCCGGCTGTTTCTGCGTGACACAGGTGTAAGGACGAGGGGAACGTTTCCCAGAGCACCCCTCTTCTGGGGCCAATCTGCCTCCTCCCACAATCCTTTGGGGACAACCACAGGCAAAGGGCTGCCAGGGCAGGTACCCTGAAAATAGCTTTGTGGGGAGGGGAAGTAGGGGGCAAAATCCAGTTCTACTGGGGTATCTGCCACCAAGTCACTATGACAACAGTGGCGGATCCCGTGCCCCCAAGTTCCCCTCCCGCCCTTGCATCTCTACACTTGGGAGTTGGCGAGGGTGGGGTTACCCAGCCTGGACCAGGCTCAGAAAGGCCCAGCAGAGCAGCCAGGGGGCCAGGAGATGAGCAGCTGCCCTGGAGCACAGCCCTTCCTCAGAGACTGGCTCCAGATCCACCCTCACGTCGCTCAGCTCCACTTCTGGGACAGTCTCCTTGATCCAGGCAGCATGGGCTGAGGCGCGGGTATAGACGCCGGGCCGGTTGGCGGCCCCACATGCATCCCCCCAGCTCACCACTCCGGCTAGCAGCCAGACACTACCCACTTTGCAGGAGAGGGGTCCCCCGGAGTCGCCCTGGAAAAATCAGGGTGGGAAGAGGGAGATTGGGAGCTTGTTAGGCTGCCCTAGGCGGTGTCGCGGTGACAGAACCAGGCCTGGGAACAGGGGTCGGGGAGCTGCCTACTGCTAGGGCCCTGATTCTCCCAGAGTGGGGCCCTGGGGGGGGTCAGAGCGAGGCTGGAGGTGTTGCGTGACCCCGGATGCCAGAGCGAGGCTCAGGGGCTGGCGTGAGCCTCGATCCCAGAGCGAGGCTTGGGAGAGGTTTGCAGGACCCTGTTGGCCAAAACTTAAGGTGTCTGCAGGACCGGAGGCAGAAATGACGTTGCCATGAACAGGGCTGCTGCCAGCTCGGTGCCCTGGTCGTGACAGAGCAGCACAACACAGGACACAAACGAGGACAATAAGGGGATGGGGCGGGAAACCAAGTCTTTGAAATCTTGGGACCATCCTGCTCAGTTTGGGAGGGGGGCAGGATGCCCCTGGACTGCCATCGGGGGTGGGGTCTCATGCTGAGCTGACCTTGAGAGTAGGGGCGCTATAGGGCAGGGAGTACATGAAGTAGCAGACAGAAGAACAGCAGGCTGGAAGCGAGGACGTGGGAGGTAGCGTGGTCCAGTGGCTTGTTGGGGGAGATTGGCCGGGGCCAGTCAGGATGGGGCTGGATGCCATCATAGGGGCCAGGCCGACTGGTGGTGTTGGGGCACAGCCCCTCCTCCGAGACTGGCTCCTGATTCACGCGCACGTCGCTCATCTCCACCGCCGGGATGATCTGTTTAATCCAGGCTGTGTGGGCCGAGGTGCGGGTGTAGATGCCAGGCCGGTTGGGGGACCCGCACGCGTCCCCCCAGCTCACCACCCCAGCTAACAGCCAGGCACTGCCCACACGGCAGGACAGGGGTCCCCCGGAGTCACCCTGGAAGAACAGGGTGGGGAGAGGGAAATGGCATTAGGAGGGGGATTGGTGGGTGAAGTGGGATACAACTGGCTGGTTACGACAAAGCTTAGCCATGGTGGGTGGAGCCTGGCAGAGTGGGGGTGGGGGCCTTGAGGTTAAAGGTCAAGGAGTGGCACCTAAGCCCAGAAGAGAGAGGAAATCTACGGCCCAGTCATTGGGCCAGTGCTCATAGTACCCAGCGCTGACTCCCAGTAGCCCCACCCTTAGTGCCATGGACAGATGGACCCCCAGCACCCCACTCACCTGGCAGGCGTCCTTCTTGCCCTCGGCGTAGCCCGCACACATCATGTCGTCCTGGATCACGTGGGTATCCGCTGGGTTGGCGTTGATCTTGTAGAGGCAGCGGCAGGTCTCCAGCCCAATCAGGGGCACCTCCAGCTGCTGCAGGGTTTTGGGACTGGGCAGGCTGACTGCATGGGGGGAAAGAAATCAGCCAAGTCTGGGTGGGCAGCTGACTCCTCACTCAGGTGGGGGGAAAGGGAGCCACCAGGGGGCGCTGTGGTGTGGGGAATGGGCCAAGAGACTCACTCCACAGCAGCCCAGGCTCTAAGCCAGGCTTAGTGGGGAGCGGGGAGTGATGTGAGTCCAGATCCCAGAGCGAGGTTCAGGGGGCTGGTCGGGCCCTAGAATCCTCCCTGCAGTGTCAACTGAACACACAATTCACCTGCACTTCCTCTCCAAAATTGTTGGCCGCTGTTATCCAGCTGCCCCACCCCAGACACAGCTGCATCCCCAGGTGCGACATCATTACCCAGCTGCCTCGCCCCAGAGGTGGCTGTGTTAACCCTTCACTCACCAGAAGTAAGCACATTCCCCCAGCCAGTCACAGTGCAGGTCATGCCGCTAGGGAAGCTGACGGAAGCGGACGGCAGGCAGATGGGGCGAATGCTACGCGTGTAGGAGATGGGCCTTTTCAATTTCACCAGCGCAAGGTCCCCGCCGGAGCCCTCATCCGTGTAGTCGGGGTTCTTGATGGCCTGCTCCACCCCAACCACCACGATGTCAGCCAGGAGGTTGGACAGCTGGAAGGCTCCGAGCGTCACCTCATAGTCGGCGATGGGGTTTTCCCTGCAAGGTAGGGGAGAGAGACATAGGCCTTCAGCAAGAAGAGAAGCCAGCACCTCAGGCTGCAGAAAGCTTCAACTAATGGGGAATCTCCCTTAGATAGCAGCAGTGTAGGGGCAAGGAAACATGCCATGCGGGGGCAGATTCTATGTTGTGGAGGGTAGAGGTACACACACACATTGGGAGTGGGGTCTAGTGGGTTAGAGTGGGACGGATATGGGAATCAGGACTCCTGGGTTCTGATTCTATCCTCGTTCTGGGAGGGGAGTCTAGGTGGTTAGAGATGCAGGGGTTGGGAGTCAGGACTCCTGGATTCTAACTCTGGTTCTGGTAGGAGAGTGGGGGCAGCTGGGAGTCTGTCCATAGAAACAGAGTCAAACAGATGTAGGGTCAGAAATGGATGGAAGATACAGGCTCCTCCTTACTAGCCCCCCTGACCCCGGTAACACTCAGAGCCTGGCCCAGCCCAGATGACCCCCTCCGTGCCCTGTACTTACGGTGGGAAGCAGTGTGCTGCGGTGATCACCCACTGGGGGGAAATGAGGGAGCCGCCACACACATGAACACTCTGAAAATTCAGGCTGACCTGCCAAGGCCACTGCCCGGCCTGCGCATCTGTGCCCCCCACAATCCGGCCCATGGAAACAGATCCACATGTTCCTGCAGGGGAGCAGAGCAGCAGCGAATGAACCAGAAACAGCCCCTTAGGCTAACCACTAGGTCCCACTCCTCTCTGAGAGCTGGGGATAGAACGCAGGAGTCCTGACTCCCCGCTCCCCCGCTCCATCCCACTAGACCCCACTCCCAGCTGGGAACAGAACCTGTGAAGCCCACGTTTCAGCCCCAAACATATTTTTGTTTGTTTTGGGGTTTTGGTTGCTCAGCTTGTCCACAAACACCTCTACATTTTCTGTCGAGAACAGACTTTTTTGAAGAAGAAAAAAAAAAAAAAGGTTTGTTGAAAACTCAATTTTTGCCATCAAAAAAGTTTGGAGACCCTCTTCACCACAACTTCCCAACACAGATGTAACCCAGACGAAGGGCGTGTCTACACTTGAAACGCTACAGTGGTGTAGACGCTACCTAGACCAATGGGAGAGTCTCTCCCATCGCTGTACTTAATCCACCCCCCCGAAAGGCAGCAGCTAGGTCAATGAAAGAATCCTTCTGTCGACGCAGTGCTGTCTATACCAGTGGTTGGGTCAGTTTAACTATGTCGCTCGGGGTGTGGATTTTTCACGTCCCTGGTGGAGGTAGCTGGGTGGACCTAACTTTTTAATGTAGACCTGACCCCTAAGGGAGGATAGATGTTCATTCCCTTTCCCCTCTGGGGGGCACCATCATTCCCGCTAGCGGCTGGCTCACATATGAGGTTAATGAGCCTACAATAGCTGCAAGTTAGCTTCACCCTTAGCTTCACTGGTAGCAGCTCATGCCTTAAACGCAGGAGATGGTGGGCTCAGATCCTCCTCCCATCACTATGGGGGCTGGTTATACTGAACACAAATATCCCCTAGAGATGCTGACACATGGCCACACAAATAACCACCGAGGAAAATGACACTGGCTGAAGACATGACTGAAGGGCGGGTTGTGGGAAAACGATCTGGAGGAGAAAAGCGACCAGCTGTCCGTACGGGCCGCGTTCAGAGCCAGATCTTTACCTGATTGTCCGGAGGTCTCCTGTACACCTGTTCAGAGGAGGAAAAAAAGAGGCACCATCAGGAATGCATCCCAGGACAACATGCATCAGCCCCAGGGCCACTGAAATGAAGCATCTCAGGGATAATTGGGAAAGGGGCATCTCCATTTCCGGGATAGGGCCCACACAGTAGGCAATAATAAAGATATATAGCAATCAAGTCATAGCTAAGCTCTTCCTGCTAAATTTCACTCCCCTCCCAGAGCCAAGGGTAGAACCTAGGAGTCCGGACTCCGAGCCCACCGTGCTCTAACCCACTAGATACCTCTCCCTTCCCAGAACCAGGGCTAGAATGCAGGAGTCCTAGCAGACGGAGGGAAGAGCGCCATCTTCTGAGCCGGGAAAACCAAGGCCCCTGGGTTTCTCCGAGCTGTCCACGTGATACAGCCGCGTCACTGCAGCCTGGCAGGGTTATTCCCTTTGGCCTTGTCTCTGTCTCCCAGCCCGTGCCACCTCCTTTCCCAGAAACTGCTCCCTGTTCAGAGGGAGGGCCCTGGTCTGCCAGCGTCATTCCAGATTCTTCCGCGAGTAGGCAAGTTGTCAGTTTCACTTCTCAAGGCTCTGCCTGACTCAGGGGAACGGGACACAGGGACTTTTCCCTCTATGGGGCGCTGGCTCCTATCCAGCCCCAGGGCAGAGCAACTGACTGCCTCAAGGCAGTGGGGAATGGGACACGGGGCCTTTACCCTCTAGGGGGAGCCTGCTTGGACCCGTATTGCTCTAAAACCACCCAACCCGATGTCCCATTCGGTGAAGCGAATTTGACAGGTCTCAGCCCAGTTCCCAGCAGGCCACAAGAGCCAGCCTCAGCCAGGGGCTCGATGGGCCACATACACCCATCTTCTTCGCTCCCCACAGAGAGGGTGCTTCGGATTTAATATGACCTCAAGTGACCTGCATTAGCCTGGGACCCAGTCATGGACCAATAGGTATTTGTGGCTGTCTGTCCGCCCAACATTCCTCCAGCCTGTGCAGAGAGGCTAAATATAGAGCCAGACCTGCAGGACAGGTTACTTCGTTACTTCTTCTGCTAGAGGAACCTGAGCCAGCTTCAGAGACACTGGCAGGGGCAGTGGGAGCCTGGCTCAGCCCTGGGACAACATTAGACATGACCCAACCCAACCCACAGGCTGTACCTCCACTACGTTCTGTGCCGTTACCCCAGGGAGCCACAGCCTTGCACTGGGCATGGGGGCAAATCAGAAGGCTGGATTCTCTGTGTAACCCTAGGACGGGGGCCAGGCTCACACAGACCTTTGCTCACATACCTCAGCCATGGGAACATCTCCCATTCCCTGCTCCCTGTCCCGAGCCAGCCAGTTCCCCCTCCCTGGGGCCAGATCTGAGCCAGCACCCCCTAGAGAAGAAAGGCCTCCTGTCCCATCCCCTGCCCCCAAGACTCAGCCAGCCACGGTATGCACCCGATGAAGTGAGCTGTAGCTCACGAAAGCTTATGCTCAAATAAATTGGTTAGTCTCTAAGGTGCCACAAGTCCTCCTTTTCTTTTTGCCCCCACCCTGTGGCCGGATCAGAGTCACTGCCCCGTAGCGGGGCAAGGCCCGGTGGCCCATTCCCTGTTCCTGGCCACCCAGAGCCCTATTGCTTGCTGCATTCAGAACGAGGAGTAGACATAGCCTGCTGGGGGGTTGGAGGGGGAGGTCAGGTGTTCATGTCTGTAGTTTACAGCCCAGGTGCCACCCAAGCTGACCACAGACACTCACACAATGCAGGGGCTGATGGGCCATTTGCTGGTGTGCCTTGGGTTTCAGGGCCTTTCACACAGTGTCTGATTACAGACTAACACGGCTGTTCCTCTGAAACCTGATTACAGGGAGTTTCAGGTGAACCTTAGGGAGTTTCACAGTCTCCCAAATACTGTTTGTACAAGGAGACAAAGGGGACTGGCAGGCTCAGGAGGTCTGGCAATGGGGCCTTTCATCCATATCCCTCTGCTCCAACCCACTAGGCCCCACTCCCCTCCCCGTACTGGGAATAGAACCCAGGAGTCCTGACTGCTAGTCCCTCCTGCTCTAACCGTTAGAGTTCACTTCCTCCAAAAGAGCTGGGAACAGACCCCAGGAGCCCTGCTGGCTTCTGATTTCATGCAAACCTTTCCAGCCGGACAAAACCGTTTCCTAAATCAGGATTAACCATTCCCCCCCACACATACACACAAAAACCTGGATAACTCAGACCAGGGAAACCTGCCCTGCAGGAATGTACAAATCCTCAAACCAATCAACTGGCAGGTGCTTTTCACTCGCATCACACCCACCCACCACACAACGCCCACACATCCTGCAGAAATGCGCATACCCACTGCGTGACACACCCACCCACCCCTGTAACAGTACACAAATGTCACCGGACACACACACAGCGCATACCACACCTGTAACACAACCCAGGCATCACACATAGGAACACACCCCACTTCACCCCACCGCACATGGCTCACACCACGCGGGCATCACACAGACACCCACAACAACACCCACCCCACATACAGGATCACACAGACCCACTCACCCATAACCCCCCGCCCCACACACAGGTGATTTTCAGCCCCACGTTGCGCTCCTCCCCAGAACAATTTGCATAGTGGGGGTGCTGAGCGCCATTGAACTCTGTATATAATGGAAACCACTTGAAGCCAGGGGGTGCGGCAGCACAACCAGCACCCCTAGTTCCAGCATCTATGGCCCTGGGGCACCAAAGGGCGCCCCGAGACCCAGTCCCACCCAGGTCCCAGCCCCGCAGCGCCCTCGGAGGAGCTGGGACCTTGAGCTGGGCGACCGGGACAGACAGAGGGACTCGGAGAAGGAAGGAGCAAAGGAAAGAGGGGAGGGGGGAGAAAGAGATTTGGGGAGAGGCAGAAGGGGGGTTTGGGGAACCAGACAAGGGGGGTTTGGGGAGAGGCAGAAGGGGGGGGGTTTGGGGAACCAGAGAAGGGGGTTTGGGGAGAGGCAGAGGGGGGGGGTTGGGGAACCAGAGAAGGGGGGTTTGGGGAGAGGCAGAAGGGGGGGTTTGGGGAACCAGAGAAGGGGGGTTTGGGGAGAGGCAGAAGGGGGGGGTTGGGGAAACCAGAGAAGAGGGGTTTGGGGAACCAGAGAAGGGGGGGTTGGGGAGAGGCAGAAGGGGGGGGTTGGGGAACCAGAGAAGGGGGGTTTGGGGAGAGGCAGAAGGGGGGGGTTTGGGGAACCAGAGAAGGGGGGTTTGGGGAGAGGCAGAAGGGGGGGTTGGGGAGAGGCAGAAGGGGGGGTTTGGGGAACCAGAGAAGGGGGGTTTGGGGAGAGGCAGAAGGGGGGTTTGGGGAACCAGACAAGGGGGGGTTGGGGAGAGGCAGAAGGGGGAGGGAGGACAGGGGTCGAGCGGCCCCGCCCGCACTCACCCAGGCTGAGGAGGAGGCAGAGCAGCGCCCCCAGGGGCGCCCCCATCTCCCGGGCGGGCGGCGAGGGGTCCCGCCGGCGGAGCTGAGCGGCGGGCAGGTGCGCTGTCTCCACACGGGCGGGGACACTGGGACGCGGCGCTCGCTCCCTCCCCTTTTCACGGCGCCCCGTGCCAGGGAAGCGGCCCAACCTGCTGCTCCGGGATCCACCTCCCGCCCGGGCCCGCCCCCGGCCCCGCTCCGGCCGCTCGGTCACCGCCCCCCCGCTGTTATTGTAGGGTCTCCTCTTACACTGCACACATGGCTCAGTTGTAGGGTTTCTCTTTCCATTGCACTGTACATGCTTGTTATTGCAGGGTCTCTCCTTGCCCTGCTCTGTTATGGATACCTCAGTGGTTTGAGCATTGGGCTGCTAAACCCAGGGTTGGGAGTTCGATCCTTGAGGGGGCCATTTAGGGATCTGGGGCAAAAATTGGGGATCGGTCCTGCTTTGAGCAGGGGGTGGGACTAGATGACCTCCTGAGATCCCTTCCAACGCTGATATTCTATGATTGTAGGGTCTCCTCCTACACTGCACATATTGCTCACTTGTTGTAGGGTCTCATCCCATTGCACACCCCCCCCCCCGTTATTGTAGGGTCTCCCCTTGCAGGGCACACACTGCCTTGATATTTGTAGGGTCTCTCAGTACCTTGCACACATTGCTCAGTAGTTGTAGGGTCTCTCATTCCGTTGCACATGCCACCTTGTTATTGTGGGGACTCCCATCAGACGCCTCTGTTATGGTAGGGTCTCTCGGTGAGTCCCGGGACATTCCTGGCTCTGTTTTCACGATCCATTAATGTGAGGCTGACTCACTCTCCTGGGCCGGAAGGGAAAAATTGTTTCCTGCCTTGATGCACGTGAGCCATGTCCCGCTCACCTCATCAGCACCCCAGGGCTGGGGCCCCGCTGCATGGGCAGGGTCACTACTGACAGGCCAGCCAGGCCCTCCATCCCCCTTCCACAGCCCTGCCAGGCTGCCTGGGGCGCTGGGCCCTTCGCACTGTGCTGGGGAGGGAGTGGGGGAAGCTGGGTGGGCGGGCGAATCGGGTGTGGAATGTAGCATGTATGTATGAACGGGATGCGTGTGTGACTGAGGGGTGTATGGATGAATGGGGGTGTGGATGAATGGGGGGGTGTGAATGCACTGTGTATGCATGAATGGTGTGTGTGTTTGTGAATGCAGTGTGTATGTATGAATGGAGGCTGAATGAAGTATGTATGTATGAATGGGATATCTGTGCGTGTGAATGCGTGTGTGTGTGTGTATGAATTGGATGTGTGTGTGTTTGAATGCAATGTGTATATATGAGTGGGTATGTGTGAATGCAGTGTGTGTGTATGAATTGGATTTGTGTGTCTGAATGCAGTGTGTGTGTATGAATGGTGTGAGTGAATGGGATATGTGTGAATGCAGTGTGTGTCTGAATGCAGTGTGTGTGTATGAATGGGATGTATGTGTGTTTGTGTATGAATGCAGTGTGTGCGTGTGAAATTGGATGTGTGTATGTGTGAATGAGGTGTGTGTGAATGCAGTGTGTGTGTGTATGAATTGGACGTGTGTGTGTGAATGCAGTGTGTGATATGAATGCAGTGTGTGTATGAATTGGACGGTGTGTGTGAATGTGTGTGTGTGAATGCAGTGTGTGTGTGTATGAATTGGACGTGTGTGTGTATGAATGCAGTGTTTGAATTGGACGTGTGTGTGAATGCAGTGTGTACGTATGAATGGGATGTGTGTGTGTGTGTGTGTGTGTGAATGCTGTGGGGGGGCGGGGGAGGAGCTGCTGGTGTCAGTGTGTATGCGATGTGTGCACTTCCTTTCCCAGGGCCCCTGGGCTGGGCGCAGGGAGGGAAGGTGCTAATTGGGCTCAGCAGGGGGTGGGTTGGCTCTTTTCACACCTGCCCTCGGGATGAAAGCCCTGATCCATGGGGATCCTTCAGACCCTCCCCCACACCCCACTTCCTTTGGGCTGGAGCGTGTGAATGACCTTAACACTGGGACAGGGAGTGAATGAAGCTATGAGGTCAGGGCTGGCCCCACCGCTCCCAGGTGGCGCTCGGGGGCGCTGTGCTGTGGGCAGCAGGCTGGGGGCCTTCGCCTGGCTCCCCCTAGAGTTTGACAGTATCTATTGCACCTACTCCTTTTGGCAACTGCAACTTTGCTGGCGACCGCAACCATTAGGGGCAACCCCATTGCGGTGACATTTCTCCTCTAGACCAAAACAGTCTGCTAGTGTGATGAGCTGGGTGGGTTTATCCTAGGTCAGCAAGGGTGTGGTGAGTGTGCTTGTGGTTTTCCAGGGCATCCAGCCAATTTGAAAGCCCACGAGGCAAAAGCACAGATCGGTAAGGGGAAAGCCAAGCAAATGTGTCGTTAAATGAGCTGTTAAAATCGCCTTCCCCTGAGATGAACACCGTTCAACTCAACTAACTGGGCTCAGGGGTGTGTGGGAACTAGATATGAGCTTTTCACTTTTAGGAAAGCTGGGGGGATATGTGACAAGGCCCCGTATCCTTTCCCTACCCCCCAACAACCAACCCTGGCAGGGTTGCCAACCCTCCAGGATTGTCCTGGTGTCTCCAGGAATCCAAGATTAATCTTTCATGAAAGATTGTGTCATGTGATGAAACCTCCAGGAATAAATTAACAATCCTACCTCTGGCCCAGCCAAGCCCTCCACACTGGGGCTGGATCAGAGCCCATTCTCCCTAGAGGGAAAAAGCCACATCTCCTATTCCCTGTCTCCCTAAGCCAGCCAGTCCCACCAGCCTAGGACTGGATTGGAGCCAGGGCCCCCTGGAGGGGAAAGGCCCTATGTCCCGTTCCCCACCCTGCAAAGCCAGCTGCTAATGTCTTCCCCCACTCTGGGGCCTTATTGGACCGCTGTCCCTAGGTTGAAGTCTCTGTTCTTATCTGCCTCCAAGCATAAAGTCTGGAACAGGTGAATAGGTAACTAGTTAGCGTCATTGGAGCCGGTTTAGCTGCCCTTGATAAGTGAGGCAGGAATGCACTCCAGTGGCTTTTATCAAGCAGTGATCTGTGAAGAATGTGATATTATCTAAGGGGGATGGGGGTATGAATAGTTGCCAGGGAATGAATGCATACAGGTTCCTGCAGCGCTTCTCACGGACAGGTGACACACAATGGCTGGGCACACGCACACAGGGCCCCAGATCCCGGCCTCTCTGAGTTTCGGTGGCTGGAGTTTATGGGCTGGAAAAACTGATCACGGATTTGGGGTTGGGGGCTGAAGAGGGCACCCCTGGACAAACTCGCACGGCCAGCGCAGAGTGGAGTCAGGATGCCTGGGTTCTGTCCCCAGCCGTAGGCCTCGGAGGGGAGTGAGGTCTAGTGGGGTGGATCAGGGTGGGGCTGGGAGTCAGGATTCCTGGGTGTTATCCCCAGCTCAGGGAGGGGGGGTGGGATCTAGTGGGTTAGAGGAGCAGGGCTGGGGTTTCTGGAAGGGGAGTGAGGTAGTGCAGGGGGAGCTAGAGGTACAGGATTCCTGGGTTCTAGCCCTGGCCCTAGAAGGGGAGTGGGATCTAGTGGATTAAAGCAGGGGAGGCTGGGAACCAGGATTCCTGGGTTCTACTTCCAGTTCAGTACATTTTCTAATCTTCCTGCTACCTCTTATCACTGGTATCGGAGGCAAGGCCCTGCCTTCTCGAATCATTTCCTTTTTAATTCATCTTTATAGCTTGATTCATTTATTGGCCTCAGAGCAAATAGCCCTTTCGGGAAAGCCAGAGAAGAGAAAGAACACACACAGCACTGGCATGGCATGGACATTGCAGTCGGGTAGGGGGCAGTGGTGAATATAAACACAAATATGCCCAGCCAGTGCAGTAGGGGGCAGTGGACCCTCCTCCCCGCACAGCCACTAGAGGGAAGCAGGGACAGATATACACCCCCCACCCACCCCAAAAGGAGCAGCTGCCCTATCTCAGCCCTGCTGGGAACTGACACCCACCCCAGCAGGGTAGCAATGCCCCAGTGACACTCTCCCCATGACCCATGGCACCCACCCCCTCCCATGGTGTAACTGCTCACCATCACCGGCAGGAGGGGGTGGCAGCACCAGGACTGGCTCCCCCAGACGCACACACCAAGCCAATGTATTCATTCCCGCCTCCACCCCAGGGGCAGCCTATGTACAGGGAACTGGCCCTTTGCTACCAGAGTGTTGCAGCGAAGACTGCCATACAGGGATGGGTCACCCTGCGCAGAGATGCAGCTGCCTCTGGGGAGGGACAACTGGATAACGGCTGCCCTGCAACACCACACCAGGATGGCTCACCAGGCACTCAGATGCAGCTGCCTGTGGGGCTGGGCAACTCCTGTGCTGGGCAAGCCGACAGCTCTCTGACCTGGTCCCCAGTCCTCCTGTCCCATTCATACCCGGCCTCCAGTCACCTGCACTGCATCACATTCCTGTGACTTGGCCCTTAGTCACCAGGGGACAGCTGAGGAATGAGCTGGTGTCCCAGCTGCCAGGGTTGAACGTGCAGGCAGCTAACTAGTATCTGCCCACATCACGTGGCTACATAAACAGCCAGGCTATATCCGGGTGAGTCCTTGGTCAGTTGCTGGGCGTGGATTCCCCAACAGCAGGAAGCTTGTGATTACCCCAGGGCAGAGCATCCTCCCTGCCAATAATTGAAGGGTTAACGAGGCTGGTGGCTTAAAGGACCAGACATGCAGTTGCCTCTGGGGTGAGACATCTGGGGAACAGCTGCGCCGCATGGGGACAGCTCACCGGGCGCTGAGCACATTTCAGACAGAAGCACGTTGAAAATATGGAGTCACCTTAGATTTAGCGGCTTAGACGGGCAAGGCCCCGTGGGGCCTTGGATCTGGATTGAAGCTGGTGCCCCCTAGAGGAGAAAGGCCCCAGGTCCCTGTTGAGGACGAGGAGTTAAAAACAGACATAACACAAGAACAGGGAGTGGAAAACAGTGCCTCCATATCTCAACATCCCATTCCCTTGAGCCATCCAGACACGCAGCCAAAAACATTATCCCCCCCCCAGGTCAGATGGCCAGAGACTCTGGGGGTTTTCGCCTTCCACTGCAGTTTTAAACTCGTGCAAATGGTGAATTCTTTGTAATTTGAAGTCTTTAAACCATGATTTGAGGACTTCAGAGACTCAGGACTTCAGAGCTTAGGAGCGGGACTGAGCAGGGGTGAGGGGTAAGGTTCTGTGGCCTGCAGTGTGCAGGAGAACAGACTAGATCATGATGGTCGCTTCTGGCCTGTGAGTATGAGACAGCCTAGAAGCACACAGCGCCCTCCCATCCATCTTTTCTGTCATGCTGCCCCCTGCTGGCCTTTGAGTATATTGGTCACTTAAAGCATGTCGCTGGCCTTCTTCATTTGTCCTACAAGCAGGTCCCTCTGTGTACGTGGGTAAGTCACAGCCCTGCGGAATTGTGCTCCAGAATCTCAGCTTTCCTTTGTTATAAAATTATGTCTCCCGCCCTCCAAATGGAAAACGTAACCATTGTAGCAATGGCTGCCTGAGTCTGCAGAGAGCCTGAGCCAATTATCTACCAGGTGTGAACCACCCCAGCTCATCTGAATAGCATTGTTAACTTTGAAAACTAACGATGAGCTTTAAAGTTTCAAGCTGAATAACACTTTACTCCTTGTAAGTAAGGGCAGAGACTAAGGCACCAGGTGGTGCTTCCTAAAATAAAATCCAACTCCAAGGCCTCTGCTCACAACTGACACAGCCTGAAACCAACCAGGACTACAACTCAGAGGCAGGTGGGTTCAGGGACAGGGTAGGCGGGCAGTGTGTG